GCCACTTCCATTGGTGGCGCTTTCCTCCGTTTGGCCAACCACCGTCTCGCGCCCGTCGCACCGTAGTGTCCCTGCCTGCTGCTGCACTTTCCCCAGGTCATCGGTGGGTGCTTGCTGCCTTCCCTGGGTTCCTTCTCGCTGGAAAAATACCTGGGAACTGTGAGAAAACGCAGGAAAGTCCGGCCAACCGGTGGGTCCTTCTCAGTCGGGCGCAACACCGACGCCGGCTCGTCTCCACTTTTCGTCGTCGACTCTCGGGCATCTTCCGGTTCTTTTTCTGCCACTGGCGCATCTTCCCCGTGCTCTTGCGACCCTCCACGTCCACCCTCCTCCACCACCAGTTGGACCGTAATCCGCTGTCATCCAAACGCCATCCATCACTCATTCGCTTCCCCGTTTGCGTCCACGAGGGGACCCCCGGGCGCCATTCTTCCCGTCTGTCCCACGGACCGCTGGTCCAGTTCATCCACTGGAATTTTGAGTCATGCTGGGTCAGCGTGGCTACCAGAAGCTACGATCCACGTACTCCCCGTCCTCGACTTGACCGCACTTGGAAGACCACCGCCGACGTCTCGACATTTGCCAAGACGCGATCCTCCATCATCCATGGCTGATGGCTAGGTATCTGGTCAGTTGTACCAGAAAAAAGTCCCTCGAAGCTGACCAATTGCCAAATTGTCTCGTCTAGAACTGATAGGCTAATGTACAGTAATACTCAGATGCAGATGCAACTTGCCCGGCACTTGGTCTCTCCGAGGTGACGGAACCACTCACAGTTCACCAACAATTGCTACCATCCCTCCATCCATCCAGCCTGCCGTCAATCTCGTCTCGCGTCGACTTGCTTTCCTCGCGCTCTTCACCCTGGCCTCGCCTCTGCAACCGGACGCCCATCATTACTACATCGCCTCGTTCGCCCGCATCTTCCTCCACGGTTTCCCCATTCCCATCTCCGTCTCCCCGCCTCTCCAACGCGTCGTCTCCTCTTCAACCCCAAACCCCGAATTTGCTTCCTCTGGAGTCTGCGGAGAAGAACGGGTCCATCTTCCTCGCCAAACCGGGTCCTTTTCGCGGCCTCACCACCAGCCTGGCCCTGCCGCCGTCCACCTCCCAGCGCCGTCGCATCACCCCACTTCCACCACTACCCACCACTCAACACCACACACGAGAGACCCTTGCTTCCACCGCCCAAAACATCTGCAGGCGCATCTCCCGGTTCTTTCGAGATCCCCTTCCAGCCGTCTAGTTGGCGTCCTTTGCAAACCCGGCATGCTGCCGCGGGCACGACCCTAGCATTCGCCGTGCCTTTGACCTACTGAGTTTTCCCAAATTCAGGCCTCACCTACATGAGATGGGACATGTACTCCGAGGTCCAGATCGTCGACTCGCAAATCATCAAAAATGCTACTGAAAACTTCAGACTAAACAGCGGTGAGCCTCATCTCAGGTCTGGATGTCGCCCACGTGCTGGTAAGCAGCCATTGGCTTCACAATTACCTTCGACACTGCATCAGTCGTGATAAGATGCGGCAGCACCCAGCCAATCGGGCCATATCAGCGACTTCCAGCCACCGAGACATGCGTTCACACCTCCAAGCCGACCGCTCCAAGCCGGCCCTAAGCCCCGGTCGCTGTGTCACTGGCATCCCAGCGGAAAGGCCGCTAGAATTCATGCTAGACCATGAGGCGCTTCTAGAAGGCCACACGCTCGTGATGCCGCATTGCATTCTGGCCAGGCCATCGAGCTAGTCATCTACGGAGTTACCTTTGCGACGTTGTCGTATATCCTTCGAGGGCGCAACTTCAGCAGTCTCCAGGGTCGTTATCTCTTGTTTCGAACCGGGTTGCGCATGGGAGAACAGCTGGCCTGTGATACGCTGTCCGTGCTGCGTGCGACGCTGGGAATAGCATGCAACAAAACAACTCGGACTCTCTCAATGTTTCCGAAATATATTCAGGGTCCGTCTCAAATCCCAGAACAGCTGCTAAGATTAGATGACAGCAGCAAAGAATTGGAATTCTGGGTAATCGCATGAGTTTTGCATCAGATCTACAAGCGCCGGACACTCGCCCACTGACCCCCAACTCTGCCCAGCCTTTCTCAGCAACTGAAGCTCAAATACAAGAAACGCCAAGGCCCCGAACCCATATTTCTCCTTCCTTGGCTTCCTTTCTCACGTCGACATCACGACAAAACGGTTGCCTCCTGCTTGGCATCAGATCCGACAGCAGCATTCGCGATAATAGCTCATGCGCTACGAGAAAGAATAGGCGCCCCATGAGTCGCGCCGTCAGCGAGAAACGAGGGGAAGCTTGGACTTGGCTTACGCACCTCTGCGCGCCTCGGGTGCTTGTTTGTCTTGCTAAGGTAGGTTCGGTCGACTTGCCCTCGAGCGGCGCCCACCTTCTTCAGCCGCCCGCCCACCGAACGCCCGCCGGTCGGTCGGTCTTGCCCCCGGAGCCCGTCGTCCATTCCGAATCATATTCGTGCCCCAGATTACACCAGGTCATGATTCCTTCTACCGGAATGCCCAGACATGTCATCGGTCATGATATTTATCATGAACGCGGGGGTGTCATCAGCGCGGCTATGGATCAAAATCCTCGGTGCGGAGTGCTCGGATCTCCACTTACATTGGGCCAGATCCGGATATCTACGGAGATCGCCTCCTTCGTCTCCTTTCTGACCCCTCACAATACATCGCCAGCCTTGTTCTAGTGAATTGACTTCCACACTCATGGCCAGCATCCAGCTAATATCCCTCATGTGTCAAGCGCGGGACGAAAATTATTAGGCACTATTAGATCTTGGCCACGGAAGTTTTCCTTGGCATCTTACGATGTTGATGGCAACGGTGGCTGTGCTCATGACGAGCGGTTTGAATGGCCCATAGGCCCTGCGGGAATTTTGCAGTTGTCCCCTCCTGTGATTGCTATGTGCACGTTTCGCATCATTTATTGCCCAGAGCGGCTCCTCCTGCATTTCTTGGAGTGGTTCAAACACCGTAAAAACATAAGACAAGAGTAACCCATACCGATGTCAAATAGGACTCCATTATCCGTGGATATATCGTTGATATGTCTATCCCTTTGGTGGCTCAACGCGACCACGTATCGCACTGCAATAGCCTACGGTAGATGGAAGTCTTGTCGATAGGAAAACGAGCAGAACTACGCATTTCCGTGACGGCGTATGTTCAAGAGGCCCTCACAAACGGCGTCCCTAATCTGCGGCGCCCCTCGGTGAGACGCCGTGAGCTAACATGCCGCCTTCTAGCTACTCCCTTCTCGCCCTGTGGCTGTAGAGGCTGTGAGGGCTCTCTTAATTATGAGAATTTTGAGCGTATTTTAGCTGGGAAAGGCTCTGATTATACTCTTTGGCTGAGAAGGGGGTTTCTAGCTTTGAGAACCTCTTAGTAGGGCCTCTTCTAGGTTTTTTCTTATTATGCAAGACGTCCTCAGATCACCGAGATCCATGGATGGTGCGTTAGAAGAGGCATCTTCTCCAATCTGATAGTTGAGATCGCGTAATCCGAGCCGCGTATGTCTGCAGCCAAAAGAAAACAGCTGACTGTTGATATGTCCCGGCTCGAAAGACCTGGAGTCTTAGCACTCTGAAGCCCGCATTTCTTCGAGAAGTCTGGGTGCTTGTGATCGGGATTGAGTTTGCTTGCGAGACACTGCATGACCTCAACTTCATATGTACATCAATGTGGCCTAAATCTCAATACATCCGACAACAACTATGAAAGGTAACTGAGACTCTGAACTCGCGCCAGGGAAAAGGGCCTTGTCACTTTCGCAACTATTGAAGAACCCTGGACCAAATCTTTGATGAGCATTTTCAGTTGCTCTCAAAGTAACTGATGCGGTTCATCTGAAAGATAAGGTGGGAATCTGGGACCTGGTTGACCAAATACCGGAGAAGCTAATGTTACTGTGCGAGAGGCTACTATCGTACGTACTGACAACTTACCACAGGCGTGGGGTGGTCTGGTTCATTGCAAAGCTGGTACAGTGGTACATTCGCAAGAGAACCTCCGTTTGTCGAGGAAGTGATGAACGTTGTCCTCCGGCGAGTCTAGTCCAAGACGTGGAGAGAGGCGCGACTCAGACTTAAGCCGGGGTCAGTATGGAGAGACTCAGACGCAGATGTCTTATTGTTCAATCCACAGGAAGGCTCGGTGAGCACGAATACTGTCCAGTCTGCACATGCCTCTTTATGAAACTACATGGTTGAAGAGAAGGGGCGGGTGATGCTGGTCCCTACTTGCAGCCAGACAACACGTGGCCTGGAAGTTCTGAACATCTACCCGGAATGCTCCAAAACCAACAAGATGATTACTGGCAGAATCCCGCCTCTGTAACTAAGACGATATGTTACGCTTATCTTGGTTGGACCACGCCCGTGGCTGACATCGACCGATTCAGCCTAGTCAGGCATCCTTTGTCCACCATTTATGGTACTTGGTGCGAAATTCAAAAGTTTAACCAAGGCAGTAATGGATTTAGATCACTAGAATCTTCTTCAGCGTGTCACTTCACGGACTGTTCCGGCTGGCCCATTTGCACGCGGAAGATTGCCTGTTAGTATACATGGTCTTTGAGGGTTGTACAGCGCTGCTTATCATATATAGAGTGTATCTTATCCACAGTCGTAGATGGCGGGCATCAAGATCCTCGAATTTCTACTTTCTATTAGGCCGCGACGGTCAATCAACAAGCCTTGCAAGTGATTCTGGCGCAGCTGTGGTCCTCGCCTGCGCGTCGAAGTCGGGTTTGGGCGCTTGAAATGCAAGTTCAGCTAAGTGGCACATATGAAACGCGCGAGCTCAATACGTAAGGACCGCAGCGAACAGAATAGAGAACATCACCAATCACATCAATCCGAAATTCAGGATGTTAATGCGCATGAACGGTTCGCTTTGACAAGCTAGATTCACCATCTTTTCTTGGCCGAATAGCCTTGTTTGTATTTCAGCTAGCGACTAGTCGAACACCTAACACCTCAGGCTGCCGTTGCTGTTGCTCAAACAGGTGTCTAAATGATTGTGTAAGCTATGAGTCATGCCAAGAGGGGAATTTTCCCGCGTAAATCCATACCGAGGTTCAACGAAGATGCCTTCTTGGTTCCGGTGGAATCGGTGCAACGACAGTTCAAGGTCTTCTTGTCCCCGGCGAGACCGCAGTCGCAGAACTTGAAAGAAGGGCTACCGGGACGGCACTGCGGATTGGGAACAATGTTGTCAGTCACTTCCGTATCTTTGAGACTAGCGACAGGGTTGCGTTTGGGCGCGGGCAACAGCTTACGACAACCTGGCCTCCAACGTTTGCCAGACATCTCGTCAGGTCGATATCGGTGGACTCGTCGTAGGGCTCGTAGTCGGTGTTTGTGCACTTTGCGCTGAGGGTGGTGGAGAAGTACGACATGCTGTTGCATGTCTTTGAGAAGTCACCCGCGGCGACGAGCTGGACAGCAGCTGCTGCGACCAAGGAGAGAGCGATTTGCATGCGCATGATGAATGAAGGCTGAGTAGATTTAATGAGTGTCTTGGTATGCACAAAGAATCAAAGTAGGCGACCAACGAGAGTGTGAATGTTAACTGAACAATAGCAATGAGAGTGCAATCATTAGACATAATGCTTGAACGCAAGCGAACCATCGAGATAAATATGTCTTCATCAGAGGCTGGAAGACCCGGCCGAGTCATTGCGAAGGACCAGATACCCGAATTAAGGTTCCGACAAAGGTCAAATAGTCGCCGAGTTCCTGAGTCGCGGTCTGGCCGCCCTTGCGGACCAGTTCGTCCCGCTGATCGTGCCCTATGAGTCTAGACCTATTCCATATAAGCTCAAACAAGACTTCAAGAAAATGGACTTGTCAAAACCGAAGAGGAATTGCTCAATGAAATGCACATCAAAGACTCTTCTTCCTCGCCTCGAAGGCGAACGCGCGAGATGGGATATTCACATCTAGGTCGTTCGCCGGCTGTCCAGAGTAGCTCCAAGCTTCGCCAACCAATCTGCATGATAAGATCTCCAGATTCGATTGACTCAGTAGTTAAAGTTGCTCAATTCATCTATATGAAGGAGACGAGGCGGACTAGTGGGTTAGAGACTGTGGCCAAGCCAGCGAGAGGGCAATGCTCGACTTGACCCATCTCTTTCCGGATTGGCCGAGATGAAACTTGACAGGCTCGTGCTGATAGTGATACGCCGCGAATCTGAGGGAAATGGACGAACTATAATAAGCTTTTTTGTCGACCGTGTCCGGTGATCCGGTACAGGTGGGGCGAGGCCGGAGTTGGGGACTCATAGCCTCCGTTGATGTACGCGTACCTATTCTGCAGAGCGAGTCGGTGTCTCTCCTTGAACTGTTAAAAAGTAGTCTGTCGCCGCTAGTTACAGATGTTAGGTTATCACGAACCTATCCATAGTTGAACAACATTTAAAGCTTGGGCTTAGCAGGAAAGAACACGCAAAGGAAATTGCGTTTGTGTTGAAATCAGAATTATATTTACGTAGTCTAATAGTTTGTAAACTATTGCTACGTGTGCCTTGAAGGTAATTCTGGTCCCGCATAAAACTTTCCTCGTTACTTACTTCCCTGTCCCGCAAACATGTCTCCAGCGCAGAAATATTGCCACAGCCCCCTTTTTAGGCGCGACAAGATTTTGAATGAGGGTTGAACAACTTACAGTCCGTTGGGATAAGGCAAGCTTGCGAGGAAAAACGTTCGTCTGGAGGAGCGCCAAATATCGCGAACATCAGTCATTGAGTTGGATCTCATACTAATTCAATTGCACACGGACCTGTGCCATTACGATAACAATTGCAATGGAATTGAGCAATTGGAAACATTGAGCATAGTCCTTAGAAGTCCAAGGACCTTATCATAGTCTGCAGCCTCATTGACCACCTCCGTCCGAAAGGCTTGGTGCCAGGGGCTGTTTCGCTTTGGCCAAGAGCGTCCACCAAAGACGAATGATGAAACGGCAACATCTATCCTGACGTTGACCACATCGCCGACGCTGTGAATGATGAAGTGATTGGGACAAGGCTTTTGCTATCCGGGCGGGTAACATAACAGAATAGTAGAACCGAGAGTTTTGAAAATCAAGATATCAATATTGACGACGATGACAACAAAACGAAAACAGTAGGGACGATAAAAAAGACAAACACAACGACACCAAAACCAATAATAAAACTTACAAACTCACTACCTTAGTTACATAGGTAGGACCTATGAGTAGCAATCCGCCCGGATAGCAAAAGTCTTAGGAAAATTGCTGTTGTTGCTTGATCTCACTCTGACTGTGGTGTGCGGGCACTCAAAACAGCCCAGAATGCTGGCTGCTGCCACGACTCTTTCTGAGAGTTTCCTATCAACCTCAACTCGATATGTGGCCACGCAAAGTTATTCCGGTTACGCATGTCGGTGCCAAATTACACCGATTTTCTCGTGCTTTATGAATGACATGGCGATTCTGACCACCAATCCACTGTAGAGCAAAGCGGGAATACCACCCGAGACGACTCGGCGCGTCTTCGTAGCTGACCTTTCAACGGTCGCCGTGTCCTCTCGGAAATTTGAGATCGTTTAGCCCGTACGATTTCATAGATTGGGCCGCAGGGCATCTTGGATCGCACTAAAAAGTGCCCGCGTGTAAATGAAAACTCAGGAGAGGCATCGGACGTCCCGATCCATTTGTAGAATCATCTAATGATGCATAATGACCTTCCAAATTGCATCTTATACAGAAGTTCTCTTCCTAGAGCCCGAATGATACGTGCGAGGTTGAAAATTCTCTCAACGCCTCAACAGGATAGAGGGCCTTCCAGAAGCCTCGCAAGAAACGTCTGAAATCGCGGCAGCACTGACCGTGCTGCGGCAGCCGCCAAAGTGGCTCGGATCAGTCTATGAGCTTGACATTCTTTGCTAAGAGGAAATTCATAATGGGATGCTAAGGTCTAATGTTTGAATTATTGGTGGCCTTGTTTTATTGGGGATGCTAACCCCTAAGCCTAACATCGGATTGGCTGAGATCTGCGGCATAGCCCACTAAGGATATGACCGAGGGGTAGCATTGAGTGAGAAAATGATCTCATCAAGAGCTTTCAGACGCTAATATGGCGTTTGGACGTCAGAAATAAGCTTATGGGTAGCCATCAGCCTGCGAGTATTGATGTCCAACATACAGCGGGGACTGATGGGAGTTTATGCCGGTGGGATTCTATTATATCAAGAAAGGAGAAATATAATATGCCTAGTATTAGAGAAAATGATCAACTCGAGGCGTGTTATAACCCTTAATCTCGACTGCCATAGGGCCGCTTGGCTGAGAGCTTCCCCTCAGAGATGAGGGGCATCTGTTGGCTCGCTCGGCAGTCATTCAGCTGCCATGAAGTCGGAGACACTCACCACCAAGCCCAACATCACTATTCGCATGGTATTACTGAAACGTCTTAGCCCATACTACAATGTGTTCCCATCTAACGGGATGGTACCATAGGCTATCTTTTGGGGGTGATGCATACACGAACACTCGAGGGTAACGAGTCGAGACCAGAGATCTAAGTTTCTTCGCCTTCCAACCACAGACCGATCCGAAGGGTTAGGTGACTACGGGACATTAACATCTAAGAACAAGCTTTAATGCTGTCAGCTGCCGATGCCTGACTTTATTCAGAACCTTGACCGAATTGGAAGACAACGTTGCATCGCCCGCTCTGCCATTGCTTCGACTAATTAGAGCGGTATAGCCGTCTTAGCCCCTATGATGCAATCGTCCTCCTCGGTTCCTTCTAGAGCTCATATGTCCGGCCGCTAGAATCTTTCCATCGTTACGACCGAGAAGGATCCGAACGGCTCGCTTCGAACCCGACCCGGCCGAGTAGTTCTCACCTTATCAACCTCTTCTGAGATAATGAGCAGTAGTAATTGCTGACAAGTGCCGCGCAACGGCGGGCTTATTAGTCTCGCAAAGGCCCCGTCTCGCGGAGTTTAGAAGTGCACAGCGGTCGGTGGCATGCGACGCTAACGATGCACGGAAGCGGGATACTGCAGTAGGTCTTAGATCGAGGCGTAAGCGGCCAATCCCGAGCTATCTGCGAACCACCGGCCCGCTGCGCCCATCAAAAGGACGTGAATCAATGTCATCACACACCCCTTAGCTCCCCAGCCTCGAGGCTTAAATTGTTATGCATGAATAATCAGGTTCTTAATGCAGGGTTGTACAAGACAAATTGTTCAGACGAGGAAACAGCGAACGGGCCAATTCTTCAAGAGACGTCTGGGTGACTTCGCCTCCCCCCAACTCAGAACTGCCGCGTTCGGCAATAGGGGGTTGGTGCAACGTGGGGTGTTCCCGTCATCAGACGGACCACCAAGACGCCACCCGATTCCACCTTATTTTTAACCTCTAGCCCATCAGCTCTATCCCCGTAGAGGGCTGAATATGTAGGACGGGGCGAAGGGGGGGACTCAAAGACAGTAACCATGCCGAAAGCTCCGCAAAACCTCCAGAAAGGCGGTGATTATGGACACCAGTCAATTGCGCTATTTTGCAGGCTTTCACGGGGTTGTGAGTAATCCGTGGTGTCTCACCGGTTTGTGTGATTTGACCGAGGACCTTTCGTAGTACATCCACTTCGCGTACATCGCCAGTGCCGACACAACCGGACGTGGGTCCTCTTTTTGACCGTCTCAACGCTCGCGAAGGGCGAATAACGCGTCATCGCAGAGACCACACGTGCGCCCAAGCTTCTAGACCTGGACTATTCAGGACATATTACTTTGCTGTTTTGGCACGCGGAGGTTCCGTGTCACCCACATCTAGCCGTCCCGTTGCGGGCAAGACGGAGTCTCTAGCTGCACCCTGATAAACTTCATCCCGGTTGATGACATGGACTAATTGAGGGGTGGTAAGAGGGGGTTTAATCGGAGAACGGCATTGATGAACGGTAGGCTGTCTTGGCCTTCATCGTTGTTAACGGGATGAAGGTTCGTCTGGTTCAAGTCGTGAGTATAAGAAGTCGTCGGTCTCCAAGGTGTCAGAGATCCAACCTCATCAACCAGTTCCAACTCACCGAGGAGCAAGATACCCAATCGCCAGTCTTGGAATTATTGAGCCGCTAGCGTTCATTGCCTTCAATCAGATTCAAGCATCATGATCAGCCACGCAGCTTTCCTCCTGGGACTTCTTGGGGCTTTGCCCATGGGATATGCGGTCCCCATGCCTCAGTAAGTCTTCCCATCGCCGTTCATCCGTCTCTGCCCCGACTAACAAGTTCAGAATGGGTGATTATGGAGAAAATGATGGGCCGGTGGGAGGAATCAGCCCGCCCATTCCCACAGTCACAAGCCCTACCGGAAACCTGAGGGGCGATTCGAGCCTTCTCGGAGGCAATGCCCCGCGGCCCGACCCAGACCAGTCCGATTCGGCAATCGTCAACGACGTCCAGCTCGTCCCGGGCCAGAAGGCAGACGGCAAACTCGGCCTGTACCTCAACTTCGATGGCGTCGACGTCCCGCAACCCATCCGCGGGGAACTAGGATCCCCGGATCCCGGCCCAAGTACGTAGCATCCCCGGCGGCTCCGGCGGGGTTGATGATCTGCACCTAGCCCGCAACGAGTCAACGGCCAGCCCCCCCGCTAACCATCGATTGCGCAGGAACTTATGCGTACGAAAAGCTTAACCCCGATCTGTTCGCCCCGCCCGGCACCGACAAGGGCGACGTCAAGAACGCCATGTGGCCCCTGGGTCTCTCGCATAACCGGCTCGGCAGCCAAGACGGAGCCGGCTGGGCGCGTCAGCAGAATTCTGACGTGCTGCCCGTTGCGTCGGCGATGGCCGGCGTGGACATGAAGTTGCAGCCCAACGCTTATCGCGAGCTGCACTGGCACACGTCAGCTGAGTGGGCTCTGGTGCTCAAGGGATGCTGCCGGATTGCTGCCATGAATGAGGATGGCAAGAGTATTGTGGACGACATCTGCGCCGGTATGAAGACCTTTCCACTACTCACAGAGAGCATTCACTGACCTTGAGCAGGTGACGTTTGGTTCTTCCCTGCCGGCGTGCCGCACAGCATCCAAGCCTTCGACCAGGGTGTTGAGTTCCTTCTGGTCTTCGACCAAGGCGACTTCAGCGAAGAGAACACCTTCTTGATGACTGAGTTGATGCTGAGAAACCCCATCTCCGTTCTCTCCAAGAACCTGAAGGCAGATGTCTCCGAGTTTGCAAACATCCCCAAGGATCAGCTCTACGTAAGTCGCATTATCGCTCGCTACAAATCTTGCAGGAATTAACGACATGCAGATTTTCAATGGAACCCCCCCACCCAAGGATATCCAAGAGCAGAACCAGACCTCCTCCGCTGGTGCTCTCACTGGTGGCGAGTCCTACACCTACCACTGGTCGCAACAAAAGCCTTTCGAGGTTCCGGGTGGCTCCGTCAAGATCCTCGACCCTCTCACCTTCCCCATCGCGGAGAACTTCTCTGCCGCTCTGGTTGTTGTCCAGCCTGGCGCCATGCGCGAGATCCACTGGCACACCACTAGCGATGAGTGGAACTACTTCCTTCAGGGTTCCGGCCGCATCACCGTCTTCCAGGCCCCTGAGGCTTCCCGCACCTTTGACTTCACTGCTGGCGACGTTGGGTACGTGAAGGTCGGCGACAGTCACTACATCGAGAACACCGGTACCGAGGACGTCATCTTCCTCGAAGTGCTTCAGGCCACGCGATTCACGGACATCAGCGTTGCTCAGTGGTTGGCCCTGACGCCTAAGCAAGTCGTCAAGGATACTCTTGGCTTCTCGGATGCTCTCATCGACTCATTCCCGAAGGAGAAGGAGTACATCAAGGTCGGCCCCACCAACATGACGGCAGTGGCCAGTAGTGGTAAGAACTTCAAGGCTTAGTTTAGCGAATGGTGTCAATTGCTTCTTGTTTGATTACCGCACTTATCTCTGGTGCTGTTACTGTCACGACGATCTGTTAGAATTTCATACCCATTTCTAGAGAATTTGATTTTGCAGGCTTCGAATATGATGTGCTTTACGTGAACTTGGTCTGGCTGGGACTATAGCCAAAGACAATGAAGACGACATTTGCGTGACCGCTGCTTTGTTCTATGGACTGATTCTCAAGGTTGGGAATCATGCCACTCTTACAAAATACCAGGTTAACTCTTCCATGACGTTCACCATGTTTCGCCTGCTTGCCGCGGGATACGTGGTCTCCAAATATCCCAGACGAGTCAGAAGCCTTTGCTCACTGGTAGACTCCTTGGCCACTTCTTCCTCGTACATGGTGATTTCTGTCTCCCCCTTCATCTGCTTGAACACCAAGCCAACATCGATGTGCTTGTCGAGCTTCCAGTAATCGGCGTCATAATGATACCAAACCATGTAGAGCACATTAACCGACTCGCCAACTGGGAACTCGTCGGCACAGTCAGGTCGAAAGTCATGCACCTCTTCGTCTGAGAACCGACCATTCCTCTCCAGAGTGATGTTGTACTGGATCTTTCCATCAACTCCTGGAGCTGCGGTGACAACCCCCTTCCTCAAATCGCCCTTCATCTCGATGGTATGATATCGCCGAGCCATCCACGCGGCAAAAGGGAGCGGCTGATCAAACGCGGTTCCCATTCCCATCTTGATTTCAGGCTTGATCATAAGACTACCCCGCATTGGAAGCCGGCGGTACATGTCGTTGACAACGCTGCCGTTCCGCGTCGATGCCCATGACCAAGTCGGTACCAGCCAAGGCTTCTGTCGCTCCCCCGACGGACCCTTCGGATCCACGTACCATAGCATCTCTGTTTCACAGAAGTGATAATAAAGACCGAAGGATGACCGGAGATGTGTCCATCTTTGGGCTACAGTCGTGATGCCGTTGATAGCGAGGAACTTGTCCGAGTTGTAGCTCAGAGACAGTGACGAGTAGTTGGAAAGGAACTGCCACCATGTCTTCAGGAAAGGATAATACACGTCTCTAGGTTGGCTGAGGTCAGTTGAAATGACCATGTAATCCCCAAATGGATCTGTTCCGTCGTCATTTGGGCCGTCCGGATGCATGCGATAGAGTTTGGATTGCCTCTTGCCTTCGAGAAAAACCGAAAGATTTGCAGCATGCCCAGGTAGACCTCCTCGGTACGCTGGATAGCCGTCGCTGTCGTAGGCGTCGTCGTCAAACTCAGAGCCTTGGTGATTCTGACCGTCATCTGCAGAGTGAGGTTTGGTGATTTCCATTCCGTGGGCTTCGTCGTCAGATGAATCCTCAGCTTCTTCATTTCTGTCTTCGTGATCATCGTCTTCATCGGCATCTTCGCTACTGTCCACGTCGATATCATGGTTCGCTCCCTCAAGTTCATCATTTTCGTCCGGGTCTTCTTCACTCTCTTCTTCTTCCTCCACATCTTCCCATTCGTTCTCCTCCTTGGGGATAGGACGCGGCAAGCGGAAGTCTCTGAAGAAGGCAAAAATATCCTTGGGATGGGTCGGGGTTTCGTTTGTACCTGGTGCTCGTCGAGCCACCAATCTAGGTTCCGCAAAGAAAGCATCGCATTCGCGGCATTCCCATGACAGAGAGTCCTCAGAGAATATGAGAGATCGAGGTGAGATCATCCGCTCTTGACATACCCAAGCCCTAGAATCCAAAACACCTGCGCGCTTGAGCTCTGAGTTCTGGATGTTGAGTCCAGCCTCACTGTCGAGGCCATCCATCGCAACAATCGTGTAGGTTGCATTGTCGTAGATGATGGCCATACGTCTTGCTTCAGCCTTCCAGTCCTCCTTGTCGTCTTGGATGATGCATAGTGAATCGATCCAGATGTGCGAGAATCCCATGCCGCGCGCAACGTAAACTGCCTCGCGGAAGGTCGGAGGAAGGCTTGACGTGCGCATGCCTTTCTCAACCAGATTGTCCAAGTTTGTCTTCAGCGTGCGGCACGTTTCTTTCAATCCCCATCGGTGACTGAGAGCGACATATTTCGTATCCGGGCTGAGCGACTCGGAGAGTGACAATCGTACGATATCTTCCTCCTCACTTGATGGGTTCAAGGGGAAGGAAAGAAGACGTGTAGCAACCAATCCCTCACCCTCAAGATCCGAGATAAGGAGAGAGTTATCAGTGCAGAATACCGTGCTGTGCCTAGCTGCTTTGCTGCACGACGCGTGATTTGCGGAGCACTCTTCCAGCCATTTTGCGCCTTGTGATACAAATGCCTGCAGGGATTGCTTGGTCGAGGGAGTTGAGACAGACATGGTGAACGATGGAGACCAAAAGATGAGGGTTTAAAGACGCCGAAAAAAGTCTATTGTGTTGATTTGACGGAAGGGTTGACGTTGACGGACCATGAAGACGAAGGGCCTGCCTGTTGGACTTTTATTAACCCCACTATCCGCGAGTTATTGCTTTTCAGCATAGCTGAGCTGACGGGTAAACTCCATCTGCAAGGAAAGGGCGCTAAACATCGGTCTAGGCGTTTAGGTGCAGGCAGCGAGATTCTGCCTGCATGAGCGCGTTGGGCTTGCTGACGGGCTGACTCTGGAGGCTGATTGCAAGTGCTTGCGGGCGCTAACCAACAGCCACCTTGGCGCTTAAAGTCATGGAATTGCCTCGGGATTCGACAATGATGCACGAATAATGCTGATTTAACACTTGCAGAGGATTCCTCCCATTTGAGCCTCACCATTGGAGATTCCAAGTCTTGTATATAGCGTTTCTAGAAAATTTGCCAATGTTCCTACATATTTCCACGGGGGTGGGTGTTGTGACGATAGACATCAACCGCCGTATGATTCCCTCTCCAAGTCTCGCATATGCTCGTAGCTCAGTACATTACCGCAGTAGTACCCTCCAGACGGAGACCGGATTCTGTCTTCAGAAAACAAAGACGTCGCCTCTTTTAGATCCTCATGAAAAGTCCCCCCTAGCTTCTCGATGAGCCGGCACCGCTCCTCCATATCCCTCGCGTTTTTGATCCGACCGACCCCGGCCTGCGCCGCAGCAGCTGGCTTCGCCTGCAACACCCATACGCCCCCAGTAGCGGGGTACCCTGCAATCAAGACATCCTCGCGGTATGATTTATTGCCCTCAAACGCTTCGTGAACTGCGAATGCTTCGTCATTCTTCCAGCACTCCGCACCCAGCATGCGCATGCGCTCGCAATGAGCATCCTCTAACATCCGGTCGATGGGTCGTGGAGTTGGCTCAAGCCGGTCAAGCTGAAGGAACGCAAGTTCCACGGCGTCGCAATTGCGGAGAATAAGGATCCCGCCGTCGGCGAGAAGACCGACTACCTTTGCGCCTGGATCACGACCAAAGGTATGCTTGTAATGAATGTAATCCCGATCCAAATACGGGTATGCATCGGCGAATTCGTCTGGCTGCGGCTCTTCTTCTGTGGTCTGATTCATTTCTGTGCGACAAATATCACGACAGAGGGGTGGCCGTGGAGTTTTCGCGGGCTCCAGGTGTTGATAAGGGTCCAGGTATTGATAGAAGAGGTCTTTGTAGTGATAATATATGTGCCCAGGCATGAGGAGATAAACAGCTATCGGAGTTGCGATGGCTACGGATGCAATGGCAGTCAACATACCTGCTGTGTTGTACGATGGAAGAAGATGATCGCCATTGGTTGTTGCCTACCGACATGTTTTCGTTGAAATGGAAGTCGGCCGGAAGGCTGGAGCCTGGTGACGACGTGTTGGAACCGCTGGTAGCCAAGACACCCGTCTGCAAGCAACAGCTTCGACTATCCATCTTCCAACCCATGCTGCCAATGTACCTTCAAACGTGATCAAGCAAACAAATATTCGGAGATCTGCTCGATCATAAATCTATAGCTGGTAATTCGTGAAGCTCATCGCGTTGTAAAACATGCCAGATAAATAGCAATGCCAAAGAAAGCACACAGCTTCTTGTATTTTTTCAATTTCTTTATTGATTCTACCAGCATGTAACCTTTCATGTAGTGTTAAAGAGACCGTCATGAAATGCATAATGTCGAGTCTTAGAAGAAGGATGTTAAATCGCAAAGCCAGCCTACTAGTTGGGATAATCCTTCAGAAGAATACCATAACCCTCAAAAAGAGACGGTCCTCCGGCAGTTACGGCAAAGGTGTCAGTACTACCAACGTGCACGCCGTACAGGTAGCGATCGCCGTTCTCGTTGATCCAGAAGGGACCGCCAGACTGCCCCCCAGCAGAGTCGGTATCGGTGACAACAGGCGATCCCCTATCGCACCCAGTTGCAGCAGAAGCGGTGATGCCCTCTTGGCGGTAGGGACGTTGTCCACCCTTGTCGCCCGGGTAGCCGTAGTGAAAGAACATTGCGCGGTTCAGCTGGGTATCTGGGTTCACCACTTTGAGCCCAAGCCAGCCATTGGCTGTTCCAGCCTTCTCCCCGAGAACGAAAATGGCCCAGTCATAGGCATTGGCGCACCAGCCGGTCTGACCATAGTCAGGGCGGAAGACGACGGTGACGTCGTAGCCTCCGTACGGTTCGCCTTGGTCGTAGGCTGGCTGGAAGCGGGCAGACACACCCTCGCCTGGGATGCAGTGTCGTGCAGTCACAACATGACGAGACCCGATGAGCGCACCACTGCAAAAGACTCCGTTGGAATGCTGGATTCGTCCCATGGCGCGATAAGGGTAGTTTTTGTCGGTCCAGAGGACTCTGTTGTCTACCCCGATGATCGAGCGCTTCGATGCAGGCTCATTTGGGCCGGTGAAAGACGGAGGGAAGTCGTTGATGTTGCTATCTGGAACCCCGGTGATGTTCAGAATGCGGACTTCTGGGACAATGGCAGAAACCCTATTCTCTCGAAGGGAGGAGTCGAAGTTGGGGTCATAGCCGATGAGAGGCTTGAACTCGCTCGGGTCTGGGAGCTTGAGGTCCTCAGAGGTTGGCGCACCGAAGACGCCGGCACCGAGGACCAAGGCCGCAATGGCTGTAGACTTGCTGGGAGAAAGCATGATGTCCTTGTTCGATGAAATTATGGGGGGAGAAGAATTTGCAAGAAAGCCACGTCTGCTCCGGGCTATTCCATGGCGTGCAGTGATGGAAGCTCCCGTTCATTTATACTTGGTTTCGACAGGTTTCGACATTGGGAAGCCATCGTTGGTTGACACCTCCAGTCTCAATTCTGTTTGTCGTGAAGGTCAAGCTGGCGCCTGGAGATGCATGACCCTCTTGTCGCTTCAACACCCCGGATCCTTCAATGGAACTTGAACCTGCCGACAAGGAAGAAAATAGTAAGCGCCAAGCCTGTAGCCCGTTGGTCTCCCAAGGCTAATAGGGAGTCCAGACCTTGACAATTTCGAAAATTGGATGAAGACAGTAAAAGTGAATGGAGATGGCTGCCAAAAGGGGAAGCTAAGAGTCCGAGTCCAAAGATCCCATTGGCCCTGTCGGAAATGTGAAGCTCTTAACAGCTGAGTGAGTCTTAGGTTGCCTTGCAGGAGAAGGAAGAGGCACATTCATGTGCATTTCAGGAGAGCCTAATAAAGACTTGCGTGCTTACACACCATTGGTTGGGTCGCTCTTCTGACTGGGACTCTTTCAGGTTTACGACCAAAGTCGATCTAATACTACCTCGAACACCTAAAGCTCCTCACGTTACATCTTCCGTTTCACTGCCAAGCTGCTTGGCAAGATGGCATTAGCCAGATTAGTGGTTCGGCAACGTCCCATATAATTTATTATGCTCATTTGGACCACAGTATTATGATCAATTGCGGTCTGGCTATTCTGGAAGATGGGGGTTTTAGAAATCCTTCAGTTTGCCTGCATGCATGGTGCCGGGGAAGTTGCTAGTAGCTGCTTAACGCGCTGGGATACAAATGGTTAGAACTGAATCCTCTTGTTGTGATTTTATTCGCGGTATCATGACCCAAGAGATCGTTCGTGGTCTCAGCCTCCATACATACCTCGGGTAAGCATACTGTTTTATATCACGATGCATAAGACATGTGACCTTCTGGCTTGCCACAAGTGGCCGAAAGCTGTCAGCAAATAGCCCTCTATACTTGTCGAAACCGGAGCGAGCACGAGGGCCGGTTCGTCTACTCTTTTCGCCTCCCTTCAACAGCACGTAGAAGTTTATGAGCCTCTGCATCCATTTACGTCACATATCCAAGTCTACATTCTGATCCAAAAGCATTAAGCTCGCATGGAAGTATGGGGTAGGGAGCATGTAGACTGTTTGTGTTTGCGTAAGTCGAAAGTGCAACATCCTACCATGCGAAGCCTTAATTGAGCCCGTCAATGAAACTCCTTGTCTTCGCCAGGATTGGAAGTGGAGCTGGTCCCAGCGGATGGACTACCATTGCTCACTCCTCCCCTTGAGCCTGGCTCTTATTATGGACCGTTTGGAATGTGTTTCTGGTCTATGTTGGCTAGACGAATATTGCTGTGAAAGTGTGCAGGCATTCATTGTTGGAACCAGTTGCTATGGCTTGCTTGGCTATTCCCGACGAGCCGCAAGTCAGAGCTGTCCCCGCCAGCCACAACAGCTTCTCAGCCGCATAACCTAAGAGATCCCTGGGATCTTGGCACGCACGCTCTCTTTTAAACATATCAAGCGCTTGCACTTGCAAAATGAGCCCTGGAATTTCGTGGTGATTAAGACGGAATACTGTTCAACGGCCATTTTTATATTTCTTCCCTTCTAACTTTTCTTCTTCGCAGTTTGCTGCCTAGAGGCGTACCTTGTTAACTGCTATATAACTCTCACGGGGAAATATTTAAGGGCTAGGATAGCTTATAGAGAAACCTCTATAGCTACTTATAGGGGTATATAAAGAGAGCGTAAATCGCTAGGGGGTAGGTATCTTCCTCTTTATACTACTATAACCTATTACTCCTTTAATATTAAGATATTATTATTATACTATATTAATACTATTTATCACTATTACTTTAAGAGTAGTAATAGTTTCTTTATAATTACCTAAAATAACTAAGATAAAGTATATAGATTTTTATATATATAATTTAGTCCTTTAGTATAAAACTTAATAGTATATTAAATATACTACTACTTTCTATTAATATACTTTAATAAGATAATATATTTTTAAGCTAAAATATAGAGATATTTTAAATAAATTAAAATGAAATTTAAGATAAATAAGCTATATAATATTAATTAAATTAAGTATCTCATATTATTAAAGTATAGCGCCCTATTAAAGGAACTTAAGGATATATATATAATTACTATAATATAGTAGTAGTTAATAGGGCGGTCTATTAGATATATAGGGGGTGGTTAGAGTAGGGGGGTCCTCTTATGTATCCCTGGTCATATAAGTATTCATAAAAGAATTCTTCACAAAACGTGTTCAACGGCCATCTCTATCAACAACACTCTACTTGCCGCTGAATCTCTTGAGGATGGACAAGGTTTGTGGTAAGAACTTGAATAGTATGAGGGAGAGTTCGCAATATTGTTACGCCTATACTATCTTCGTAATAGATTTGAGGCGGCCGACAACTGGATAATCTCTTCCTTGGTCATCCTCGGAAATTAGTCAAGTAACAAGATCAATAGAGGGGCCGGACTGGAAGCATCGGATCCCTCAGCTTTCAGCCTCTTCCTCTTGACACTGATACTCTGCGCCTATATGATGTAAGACCAAAACCGCTGCGCTCACATGGCATCTATCGTTTGCCAAGTATTGGGGGGCCAGTTGTGAAAACGGGACCTACTTCTACTCAGCTCTCATACGATATGCTTGCCAGCATGCCAGGGATTGAAATTTATGACCAGAACATCATGGACCAGAAAACCTCATCTAAATGGTCCGTCTCGTCTGTTTAGATTAACTGCACAACACGAAGAGAAGCGTTATTGGAATTGATGACCAAGGTTGAAGACCTCAGTCTTGAGCTGAAAGCTCGTCAGAGGCAATGTTGAATGACGCATAGAGGCCACTCAGGTTGTACTCTAATTTATTCTGGAATAATAAAACAACGAGTTTTCTGATAGTCAATTGAAATTCGGTATCATTTCTATGATCATCCCGCATATCCATTGTCCAATGATAAGACCATAGCCAGGGAGGGCTCCAGGCTAACTGACGCACATGGTACTTGACACCAAAGTCCCTCTTTGTCCCCACCCTAGACATGCGTCATGGCTGCGACCTTTTAGGCAGCAAACAAGGCGCTTGGGGTCCCGGCCGTCAGCTTGGTTCTAACCATTTTGAGATGTCCATTCGAGGTGATAGCTTTTCCTCCGAAGTCCCCGCTCGATTCTGTGGCCACGGATCTTGCCAAGCTCGGGTATCGACCCTGTTCAGACGGCGCCAAACCTGAACAACACAACCCAGACATCTGAATATCCCGATTTCAAAACGAGACTGCCACATCGCGCGATGCCCAATACCGGAAAACCAAGTCCTAATTGCCATCTCTGCCGGCAAAGGAGAGTGAAAGTAAGCTTTTGAATGTTGCTGCCGAGTCCCAAGGGCATCCACATCTTTCATGCAGCTGACTCCAGATTGAAGTGTGATCTGGGCCGACCTCAATGTCGAAGATGCATCAAATATGGAGTTCAATGTCCGGGTTATCGAGATGAGCAAGATCTACGGTTTCAACACTCGCACTCAAACACGTTTGAGCAGCGTAAAAAGAAGAAACAGCGGGATAACCCAGACCAGCCTATGAACGTGATCCAAGTGATCGCATTCACCCCGGAATCAACGGCTTCTCCTGCATCATCTCAGTGTTCGAATGTTCCATCGACGCCACCATTGCTGAGACCCGTTCGTCAACATTGGAGCGCTGAATCGGTACCCCTTGTTCTTGACTGCTATTCTTCAATCAACTTTCTGCCCGGATTGTTCAAGGGGGTCCCAGACAATCATTGCTTAGTCCGCACAAGCCAAGTTTTTGCTCGCGCCTACGTCCTCAATCGCTACAGGCCCAACACCGATTATCACGAGTTGTCCTCTTGTCTGGGAAAGGCGTTAGCATCAGTCTCAGCAGCCATCAATGACCCGAAGGCCCACATGTCAGATGCAACTATTGTTGCGGTGTGGTTTCTGGGCAACTACGAGGTAATCTTCAGGCGGTCCAGTTATTCGATGCTTGCTAACTTGCTGTAGCTGCTCATGGGAGGTCTCGAGAGGAGGTCCTTCGTAACCCCTCAAGAAAAGGCCATATCTTCTTCTCCCGGCTGGTACATCCACACTCATGGTTTGATGAGCCTCCTTCGTGCAAGAGGCGATGCACAACTATTCACAAGATCCGGTCGGCAAATTTTCTGGACCATGCACAACATCATTGTAGGTTTACTAGACGAAAACTGGCGAAGGTACTTGCTAAAATGTGACAGCAAATCCGATGCACGACAATCAACGAACCATGCCCACCGGAATTCGACCGTTGGTTCAAAATCATTGCTAAGACTTTGCAGCCTGGAGAAGCTTTGCTACTGGAAACCGGTCGTTACATTGCGGCGACATGCTCTCTTCTATCCAAAATGATGCCTATTGCGCGTCTGGGAGATGCCCAACAGGCATGCGCTCAGTATGAAGAGCTGCTTGCTGAATGCGACAAGGCTGAACTCGCTATGTTGGAATGGATCCAATCAGCACCTCAATACCAATTTGAATCTGGGCCAGTATTCCACTACTTCTGGAGTTCTTGGAGAAGTGCTCGAATCAAGCTACATCACATGCTGATTCTCGTCGCAAATATCGTCGAACACGCACCGGAGTGCCCCTTCCAGCGGGAGGCCCTGAGAGCCCGCCGTGAGCTGTGCCTCGAGATCATCGGAGCCACAGCCCAAGATGTTGTGGACGGGATACCAAAGTCCCTCGGTGGAAGCATGTCAGACATGGACCCGCAATCTCCTGCCGCTTACTTTGACGCGCTTCGACTAATTTGGCCGTTGAGCCAGGTCTACGTCATGCCGACCGTTCCAAGACACATGAGGAAAATTGCAAGGAATGCGCTATATCGCATAGGGAGAGAAAAAGGCATTCTGGTGGCTTTGCAGCCGCGGCCTGGTGGCATACACTTTCCTCCTGAGGCCATGGCTGGTATTTGTGTAGATGACTTGGGAGACCAGGAACATCTGCCAAACGATCTGTCGGATACTGGGCCCCAAAGCCCTTGAAAGCGAATGGTATTGGGTCATCACCGCGCTGCTGTCATCCCTCGGGCGGGACCAGCAATAAGCTCGGAGCCGGACGAAGCACCGCTGCATATAACGATGATCTTCTTCCAATTCAAAACAAGCATGGCCCAATCGCAAGGTGCAAGCAACTGTAGGGGTCCAGCTAAGCATTCGCGCGACGCCTTGAGCTCGGGGATAGCGAAGCTTGTTTCTTCTTAGCGCCCTGCGTTTAGATAACAAGAAGATCGTTTAGATAGCAATGTCCACTGTCAGCACGGCAATTCTGTGCCGAGTCAGCCAACCATCCCCTTTCGGGCAAGCCATTCGACCTCATCAGCGCCCTAGGTGCCGACCTCCGATTGACGGTCGCTCAGCCACTGGCTGGGAGCGCTGAAGTCAGGCATTCTGCTCCTGCGAACGCCTTTTGCCAGGCGGGCTGCGGAGGCGGTGTCTAGCGCGCTGCAGTTGCGAATGCGATGAAACCGACAGAGTGCGTGGATGGCTTTCTTTGGCTGCCTGCAAAGCCTGGAGATCTCCGCTTGCTGGAGGATAAATACATTGGCTTGAATCTAACGACAAATTTGATGTTCAGTCAAGATATTCACACTTTTCAACATCGACACCTACCAGAGGACACCACTTGAGGATCAGTAACCACAATGGAGACCCTCATCCGCATCAGAACCCTCGGGAACAAAACGGAGAATGACGTTTGCCCCATACAATCCCTCGATGAAAGTCAGTGACAAGCCGGAACGTAGTGAAGGATCACCAATGCTGACTTCAATACAGATGCTTCACAGCCATTCATCGGAAGTATGTCGTTCTACAAGTTCAACATGATCCTATCCGGAAGCTTTACGGCTGCTGCATGCCTCATCATTTTCGTTTTCATGTTTCTTCACGCCACGCATCTCAGCAAGAGCAACGAACAAATCAAGTAAGTCTCATGGCCCCCAAACTCTCCGAAACAAGTGCTAATTACCATTAAGAATATTGCGTATTTCACTTATCATTCCATTCTGGTCGATATTCTCGTTTCTTTCAATATGCTTTCCGGCAGCACAAGTCTACCTGCACCCATGGCTTGAGTTCGTTCAATCCATCTGCCTTGGCACCTTCTTCTTGTTGCTGTGCGAATTCGTCTCTCCGAGCGAGCAACATAGAGATGTGTTCTTTGCAGCTCTCACAGTCAAAGACAAGAAGTCCGAAACTGGAACGCAAGACGGCTTGCAGTGGTTCAGGGTACGTCCTTTACATGATGATTAGTGAATGTTTTCTTAGGGCTAACATGCACTGCCTCCAGAGAATGTGGTTTTCCATCTTCCAGTATCCTGTTGTCTCCTTGTTGATCGCCATCTTGACGGCCATTACACAAGCCGCAGGTGTTTACTGCGAATTTGCAAGCAAAGCCCATTTCGCCAAGCTCTGGGTAAGTCTCCACCAGCAAACCAGGAAGCCATCCCTCCGCTAACTCACCCATCAAAGCTTTCGATCATTGCCAGTGTATCGCTGACAATTGCAATTATGACGGTTATCCGTTTCTATATGCAGTTGAGAGGTCACCTAGCCCATCACCAGCCCTTGGCCAAGTTTTTGGCATTCAAGCTGGTTGTATCACTGACGTTCCTTGAAAATGTAAGTTCTGAATCCATCCTCCGTATTTCGGTTGCCATATTAACCATTCTGTAACAGATCATCTTTTGGATTCTCCGAGATGTCGGGGCCTTGAACCCCACGGCGATGCTGACTTGGGCGGATCTCAACATCGGCATTCCTTCCATGCTCATCTGTATTGAGATGTTCCCGTTGGCGATCTTCTTTCATTACGCCTACTCCCATCGCCCTTACATTATCGGCGGTGGCCACGCTCGCCGCCCCGTCGCTGGAGATCTGGAGGCATATGAACCTCAGAGCTATTCTGGCGGACCAGGAGGCTTGTGGGCACTTGTGGAGATGTGGAACCCCATGGAAATTGTGGAGGCTATCAAGTTTGGTTTACACATGAAGGCAGAGGAGCGTCAGCAGAGAAACGCTCGCAAGGGGTTTCCCATGACAAGCTACCAGCCTGTCGATGACCAACACGGCAGATACTAAGGTTGGGAATTGGTCCGAAGACGGTATATATGTTACATTATCATAAAATATTACGCAGCGTGTTTCATAAGCAAGTCTATCCACAAGGCTTCATGGCCGACTAGAGCGCGTTTACCTTAGCGGCATGCTCATAAACGAGAGGTTGAGCCTCGGCATCGTCCAAGTAGATCGTGAAACCATCATTGTGGTTGCGACCATAGGAGTAATTGGAGTACCCATATTGCCAGTACATGTCAGGCATCTCTTCCTCGAGAGAGATAGCTTGCCACTTGCCAAGGACCTCAGTACGAGGCGTATTGTCCACGACGCCAAGGTACTCCAGGCGCTTATCGGCAGTCAACCAGCCGTACTCCTCGTGAACCACAGGCTTGCCGACCTTGCGGCCAGACGCGGCGTGATCGCGGATCCATTGCTCTGTCCACTCAACGGTCTTGCTCCACCAATCGGGGTAAGAGTGGAAGGTGCCAAAGTCAATGTTAGGCAGAGCGAGCTCGTGGTCGAAGTCGCTGCCATCAGCTCCGTTGTAGGCCCAGTCATCGGACTCGATGTTGAAGCCGCCCTCGCCGCCCCAGGTGACAAGGTGGTGGCTGTCGAGGCTCTTGACGTAAGCGCTCATCTCCTCGATCCAAGCACCGAGACGTGCCGGCGTGCAGTCGTCGCTTCGGGGAAGGTTACGGGTGCCATCTGCCCCACAGCGCGGCTCGTTGGCGAGCTCCCAAGCCATGATCGCGGGAGAGTCCTTGTAGCGGGTGACCATTTCCTTCACGTAGCGCTTGAACGCATCTTTGATCGCGGGTACGTGGTAGAACTGAAGCAATGTCCCGTCAGCTTTGCTACCTTGGTCTGACGACAACCAGAAACTTACATCGTCGTGATACTTGCCACCGAGATTGACGGTGTAGACATCCATACCACCATAATCGGCCCAGTTGTTCGTAAGCGCTACGATCAGCTTGATACCGACGTTCGTCGCAGCGTTGACAACCTTGTCGAAGGCGTCGATGTTAATGACCGAGGTGCCGTTGTCATGCCATCTTTGGAAGACGATATCGGTGTCACCAGCGCCCTCGCCGCCGTATTGAGGGAGACCACCGGCGTTGTAGGTCACGTTCTTGTCATTGAAGCCCCAGGTCCGGAAAACTTTCAGGCCGGCCTCCTTGGCGGCAGTCATGCCAGCTTCGACGTCTGCTTGGTTCTAGTGGCCATTGTCAGCTTCTATGATCTTGATCGAGGCCAATTGGGTATCCTCACGTTGTCGAAAGGGAAGTAGTAAGCGTTGCTTCCCGCGAAATTGAAGTCCTCGCCATCCAGCTGGAACTTAGTACCCGAGGTCGTCACGTATCCTTTCCTGACGCATGGCGCGGCGGCAGCTCCGCTGGCCAGCAGGCCAACTGAAAGGAGACCGGAGAGATTGGGCAGCATTGTTGACAATTGACGGATGCTTCAGCTGTCTCTAAGTCTTCCAATTCAACGCGACGGCTCCATCGCAAACAAGGGCGGGGACTGCTCAAATTTATTGCGATCGATGGAAGATGCCCTGCGCCGGACTTCTGGGCCGACGCTTGTCCAGATTGATCACGGAGACCGTTGGACCGCGTGCCATGCAATCTTCTCCAAGGATTTGGAGATGCCAAGGGTGCGGGCAGGCCACTTTGCCTCTTTCATCACGGAGGGAGGTTGTCCGAAAGTTGGGGTTCGACCAATCATGAGAGCGCTGATATCCGGAAAACATCAAGAAACTTTGGCTGGCCCGATCGTACCTGATCCGCTGTTGCAACTGCAGTTGGCCAACCTCGGATTCTAGCAATCATCAACACCGAATGTTGAGAACATGCCCGTGTTGCCTTAGGTTGAGATGGCTGCATTGCGGCTGGTCTTAACGTAACTTGATCCCTATCAAATCAGTCATCAACTTCTGACTTGTTCCAGGCCATCCAGGCTTTGCATTGGTCTCATGGTCAATGTCGACGTCATCTAATGTCGCAAGAACCCTTTCGTCTGAGTTCAATCTATCCGACGGCTCGAACGCATGTTCATCCGAAAGCCAAGCACGGGCTTCGCACACTCGTCTGAGCTCTCCAATTTTCGCCTCGTCACTGCTGGCGTGAATCCTAGTCCCTTCGTGTTGTCCGACATTTCTAGCGAGCCATTCATAGACCATTTTTGTAGATGAGTGGGACCAACGGCACCACACCGTGAACGAAAACCCCAGTTGATCATGGGGCCCTTGCATGAAGATGGCGCGGGGTAGCTGTGTCTGGCGGCCCAGGTTGTCAATAGCCCGAACCCGAGCATCCGGCGGGGTAGTTATCGATGAAGTTGAAGTTGTTGTGCTGTAATGATGCTTTGACAGAAAACATTCCGGGTTCTCGGCCGTTTTGTGCCGATTTGATCACATATTTTCATTGTGCAACAATCGATGTGGTATGAAGGCTCTATCCACTCAAAGAGAGGACTGCGATTACGTTATCACGCAAGTCTCTGTTGATAAGGGTAGGGGGAACAGTTCAATGTAACGAAAACGAGCACCAGCCAACATGAGTCGGTCGAGGCTGAACGAATATTAAAAGAGGAAAAGATGTCATGACTAGCAACTCCAGCCAACTAACAGGATGGAAGAAAACGGTTATATCATCAGCAGCCCGCGTTGGCATTTGAGGATGAGATTTATTGAAACATTATGGAATTAAAGCTCTAAAATAAGAGCTTACTACCTAAAGCAGAAAAGAGAGATCTGCGAGTTAGGTAAACACAACAGAAGCAGCAATACTAGGTTTCCACCCAACCATATTTTACTCGACCCTATGTTATGTTCTATAATAAATCTCTGAAATACAATAAGTTGCGGAGTGCACGCATGATGCCAGTGCAAGAGCACTCAAGAACAAAAAACGAAGCGTTTGAAACGCTTCAGCTTGTTGCCTCGAGAGAGAATCGAACTCTCGATCTCCTCATTACTAGTGAGGCGCTTTACCACTGAGCCATCAAGGCGGATTGACGACGGCATCGTGAATGGGGCTCATGAAGGCACTCAGTGGATGCCAATGTGGACCAGATGGGGCTGTGGCTCTGGTATCGTGGGTCTGGTTAATTGAAGCGAGGCCAAAGACGTCAATTGAATAGTTGCTAACCTGGTGTCTTGGTTGCGAAGCCTGGCACATAAAATCTCATCAAAATGTGTCAATGGTGAAGTTCCCCAGCATTGGGATAATCACAACGCTGAGGTCAACACCGCTCTTCATGCGACGTGTTGGAATAATGGTGGAGCTCTTCAATCACCCGGGGTCGTGGAGCGATCACCTTGGCTTCCAGATGGAGTTCGACCATGCGCACTTGAAGGCTCAAAACCAACTATGCAGAACATCCTTTTGGTCCCGTCAGAGATCCCTACTGTGAAGCCGCGAAGCGATGACCATAAGGTTCGGGTGATTTGCCGTTGACTTCGAGGTCACTGAAATTTCTTTGGCCTTTCCACATTGTTCTGATGACATGGATCCGGGCCTCACCTTTGTGGTTGTGTACTATCTGTCTACTTCACGTAAGCAACCTAATGGGAGCTAAACGGCCGTCACAGCTACATGTTGATATGACCTTAGCCGTAACTCTTACTCGAGGTTCCGCATACTCAAAGAGACTGTTAGGGATGAGCAAGGTGCCTGTTACCATCAATATCCATTTTTCTGAGATGTTCAGCGATGTGACTGGAATAGCAAGCGGTGCTCGGAGCGTTGTAATCCGTGCAGGGATCCGGATGCGACATGCTCTTGACACCTGGTATTCGTAAGGCAGTTGATCAGTCATGCCACCGTTCAAGTAGACTGGTCCGACATATAGTGGTGTGACAAAGTACTGGGTAACGTTGACGAAGTTTCAAGCCCATCCAGTAGGGGCTTTACACTAGGAAAAAGAAATGGGCAATAGCGAGGGGTTTTCATGGCCAATAATGAATGAAAAGCCCTGTCCTTGCAAAAGTGAGCGCTGTCGCTTTTTAACCGTTGCCATTGAAGGTTCTAGGAATGAGCTCAGTTGGTCTCCGCGCACATTCATTGCCATGTTGGTACCATGAGGAACACCATCAGGAGGGCCGAATGATGTGAAAGAAGAGTCAGATTATTCTGGTTCTTTGTCAGTCCATAAAGTCGAAACGGAACCAAACCCAAAATTCCCGCATTGGGAGTAGCAACCGCGGGCTTCTCCCTCCGTGATCCTTACCAACAGCCGAAATCCACCAATTACCGAGATCACCTCACTGCCACTTTACCACCATGTCATTAAACCTGGGGAAAACCTGGGGTTGATACGTTGCACCTGCTATGAGTTGGGTCTCAATGGCTGGCGTATGTGACCACGAGGTTATGGCTTCGTTTACGTCCGGGCACCTTACTCGTCAAATCTAATTAGCAGCTGCCGCGTTCTTCTTGCCAAGCCTCTTTGACAATGTGACTTCATTAAAAATCAGTTGATGTAGCAATTACAGTCGACCCGGATCCGGGGAGGAGTGAGGCATATAAAGTGGTCAACCAGGACTGATTATCATCTGGTTCCGACCAGACTGTGGTTCCCTGTGTGCAATTTGTGGCCCGAAAACCAAGCTTTGATCGTCATGAAGGCTGTTATCCTATCCCTGCTGGCGATTGCCGCTCAACAAGCAGCTTCTCATGCAACCTTTCAGGCTCTTTGGGTTGATGGAGTCGATGTAATACCTCTAAGGTTATTCGAAGTGTTGAAACGTGGTGCTGACTTGAAATAGTATGGCGGCCAGTGTGCCAGACTTCCTCTCTCAAACTCCCCGGTCACAGACGTTTCGTCTAACGATGTTCGATGCAATGCAAACAGCGGTCCAGTGGCCAAGAAATGCGTCGTAAAGGCTGGCTCTTCGGTCACGGTTGAGATGCACCAAGTAAGCATGTTCAGGTACGCGCATGTAAACGGCATTCCTTTCTGACCAATCATTCACAGCAACCAAATGATCGATCATGTACTTCAGAAGCCATCGGTGGCGCACACTACGGACCCGTTATGGCATACATGACGAAAGTCTCCGATTCATCTTCGGCCGACGGATCTACCGGATGGTTCAAGGTCTACCAAGATGGATGGGCCGCCGCGGCTGGTAGTGCCAACGGCGATGGCGACTATTGGGGATCTAAAGACATGAACACTTGCTGCGGCAAAGTTCAAGTCAAGATCCCCTCAGACATCCCAGCTGGGGACTACCTGCTTCGGGCCGAGTCCATTGCCCTTCACGCGGCAGGCTCCAGCGGCGGTGCTCAGTTGTACATGACATGCTTCCAGCTGACCGTTACCGGCGGCGGAAGTGCCTCACCTGGAACAGTTTCGTTCCCTGGAGCATACAAGGCTTCCGACGCTGGTCTGCTCGTTGACATTCACAGAGCCCTGACTACCTATGTCGTACCGGGACCCACAGTGTACGCTGGCGGTTCGACCAAGAGTGCCGGGTCTGGCTGCGTCGGATGTGAGTCGACTTGCACCGCTGGCTCCGGGCCTACCGGAACGGCCTCCAGCGTTCCCCAGCCGAGCACGACTGGCGGTCTTCCAGGATGCACTGTTGCGAAGTACGGCCAGTGTGGCGGCACGGGATGGACTGGTTGCACTTCCTGCGCCGTGAGTGATAGAAGCCATCTTATGTTGAACTTCCACTGACCGATCAATCTTTAGTCTGGGTCGACCTGTCAAGCCGTATCAGCACCTTACTATTACCAGTGCGCATGAGTCTCAGGGATTCCGCTGGGTAAATGGCGGCAGAGACTGGACAGACGAAACGATGACTGGGTTTTGATTCGGTCTTTACTATTAACCTCTTGACAAACGCCAAACCTGGATCAGTGGATATTGACATATTGTCAATTTTGTCTTCAAAACCTATCTAAGATTCTTACTCTCGTTGAATCGAGAGTTGAACTATATTACAGCATTTGCTAGTTGACATCGCGATAGCCTTCCATGAATCTTGAATGTATGGATTGCGTCATGATGCTTGTACCATCAAGCTGTTTCAATGACATCCCCGGAACTTAGTGTTGACGCTGCCTTCATGTCGAGGAGATGATCAGCCATGGCCCACCTCCCAGACGGTCCGGAAGAAATGATTTTCAGTTGGTAAGCGAGCCATGCGCCGATATCTTTATCCGTCTTCCCCACAACCTCATACGCCATTCTCATTGGAAACAGGATGGATGAGCTGGAAACGTCCCGCAGTCGTCCAAGGTGAAAGTCGACGCTGCGACAGATGGTGATGGCCGATGAATAAATTCGCTTGATGAGTAGTCCAGATTGTTCCAGATCTTGCAGGAGCAGGTTGAGCCCTTGTATGAACATCATTACCAGGATGAGAGCGCCGTTGAACGTAGTCGAGATGCTAGCATCGTAAAGGGAATGATACTGCAGGACCGTAGCCCAGATAGGCTTTCTTGCTCCCTGTTGGTCTGCATGTGTGGGCGTTGTCTTCGGTGAAGCCATCTCACTCCAGCGTGACAGGGCGGTGGAGGCCCAGCATTTCTCCCACGCCTCCAAATCTTGCAGGACCGATCTTGCTTGTGATCGAAGGGAGATCAATGACGCAAGGTCCGGAGCACCCATTTGGCCAACAAGCATTTCGTCTCGCTTAACAAAGATTTCGGGACAGTCGGCAACAATGTCGATAAGCAGCTGCAACGGGTCCTTGCGTTCGGGATGCTGTAGCCAGGGTGTGCTCTTCCATTCAGGTCGAGATAGAATGGTCCCAGTATGAGTAACCAGAGCAGCGAAAATGATGGAAGACCGCGCCCGCTCCAGAATAATGACACAAGGTAGTTCCTGCATGGACTCGGGTCCTCTGACCTTTAGCAGCTGCTCAAAGCCGCGTGCATGGCCGATCCATCCGTCTTCTCGATCGCCCACTAGGAGCTTTGAAAGTTGTGAGCATAACGGTTTATGGCATTAGTCAGCCTGAGGTTTCCAGGAGAAAGCTTACCTCGAACAGGGCCATGACGATGACCGCTTCTAACACGTCAAAAGATCGAGACCCCTTAGGGTCACCAAGAGCATTGTTGAGAGCCTTCAAGGCAGTGCCGTATTTCCGCAATCCTCGCTGCACAACTGGCTTTTGCCTATTATCGAGGCCAAACATTGTGGTGGCCAAGGCGACGAAGCATTTGCCGGTGATGGTCCTGTCGGTACCTGGTTTGACCACGATATCCTCACTTTCCCGAAGCAAATGTTTATGTGTATACGTAACGAAGATATCGTCCATAGCTGTCGGCATCAAAGAAGGTTCCAAGAAACGGAGTGGGATCACGTAAGCGGCGCTGATCGCCGTGGTCATGAGCGCAGGCTGCTCCGGTGATGCGATAGCGGACCGTCCTGAAGATGGTGGCGATGGCAACGAGGTTTTGACAGGCGCAGGATCCTGGCAGTTGCTACCACTGTATTGAATGAAGCTGAATCCGCGGATCCCTCCGCATTTCAGCTTGGCTTTGAAGCATCTGTTGCATTCGGGAGTCGTGAGGTCTTGAATACTCGTCAGCCCAGGAACATGCGTTGGGCTCCTTGTACATGGATGCAAGCCGACTTACCGCATTTGACGCGCCGGCGGCGACAGTTGTCGCAGGCCTTTGATCTTCCGCCAACCCCAACCATTTTGGGCCTGATATGATGGCAGCTCAGTAGTTAGGCAATGGCTTCGAGTTTACGAATCAACATCGGAGTGCGGTATGTTCGATAGAAGCGGAGATGCATCGTCGTTGACATTGTCGCGACGCGCAAACTAAGACTGGGTCTGTGACGAGAGTGGCTGGAAACAACAAAATGCTATTGGGTTCTCCCTGAGACCGGTTCCGTCGACGAGCTAGCACCATCTCAGTTAGCATTCTCTGCTGCCTGAACCAGAGACCTGGCAGGGATGAGACGATCATTTGCACAGAGCTCTCGGAAAAGAAGGAGAAAACTAGAGGTGGGAGCTGATTAAGTTTTACTCCATTACCTCAAGCACACTTCAACCATAATTGTTTCTGAATACCTTATGGAACCTCAAAGTTGTTGCTGTGCATGCCTTTCAGCTGTAGGTTGGACTCCTCCAGAGCCCCCGGAAGCCGCCCGCACTAAGTTTAGGGGGCGCGTAGTTCTGAGGATAACGGAATGCGGCCTCGAAATATGAGCCTAATGCGGTAATGTCATTTGGGTCAGCTGGGAATAACTAGGATTTATACAGCGATCACTTAGCGTCCAGAAATCGCCCAAGCCACGCGAGTGATCTGCATCATAAACTCCACAATCAGCACTGCCATGATGCCGACCAGAGTATCTTGGCCAATGATGACTGCTGTCGATCAAGCCGCATGGCAATCAAGCTTTCCAACGGGCGTGTGGCTGACGGCGTTATAATCTGCTCGAGGATTCAGCCAAATAAGGAAATTCATTTCTGAGGCCGCCTCATGCAATGGAGGTAATCAAAAAGGGACTTTGGTCCTCATGCCCTGCCCAATATTTAAAGGCGTCGTTATTTCCTGCGACGCATGCGAGTGGAAATTACCCATCACTGAAATAACCTCTACAACCTCGAAAAATGAGCACGACTAAGACACACTCATACAATCATGACCCTTCAGGTGCCCAGGCTTCTCTGGCACCTCCAGCATATTCCGAGATTGACCTTGCTCATATTCGACGCCTGTCAATCAATTCCGTTTCCTCTGACTCCGAGCCTCTGGATGCTTCCGAACAGGAGGAACTGAATGCGGCTCTCAATATCGAGCCGGGTACTGGCTGGATACCCGAGCTACATGCCACGAATGGAAATCTATCAAGCCCCCTACAGGTAAGTAGAAACAGCTCTTGCTTCGATCTGACTGAGTTGTCGTGCTAACAATGTATGCAGAAACCGGTTGTGATTCCACGCATTGATTTTGGGGGGCCTCTCAAAGTACCCTTGCCATTCATGCGAGCATACTCTCCCGACCTTCGAGCTCATGACATCCACGAAGAAGACTTCGTGGGTTTTATCGACAATTTGACAGTTACACAGGGCCCTCCAGCCCCACTGGCCGCACTAAATGCCGCAGGAACGATAGTTGGCTATGTGTGCGTACCCTCAGCGTTTCATACCGTCCTTCGGTCACTGACGTCCTCAGACCCAACCACTGGGCTCAATTGGCAGGAGGCATCACCAACCTGACTGTGGGCGTGGGCTCGGCAGCAACACGAATTATTCGATCGAAAGTATTCCTCGAAAAGGTAAACAAGGAGTATTTTGCGCCAAGAGGTCTGAAAGCTTCGGTGTGTAAGTCTAAGGACTTATCCGTGAGAATTGGCTGTGGCGAGACTCTACCAGATTTACAGTGAGTTTACTCATGTTTGTCTACGGTCCTTGATTGAAAAGAGAGCTTACAAATTACAGACCTCGAGATGTGAACTGGGAGATGGATATTACGGCTCGCCGAATGTCGGCTCTACAGCCCTACATCGCGCCACTTACGTTTGACGTGCCACCCCCAACGAAAGATCGAAACATCATAGATCGACTCACAGAGAAGCAAATTCAACGACGAGTGAAGAAGAAGGAGAAGAAGAAAGGGAAACGAGCAACGAAGATGAGGAGGAAGCAGTCCCGTCAGGAACGAAGACAATCGGAACGTAACGGCACGTCAGACTTAATCGACTCCGACTCAAGTAGTTCAAGTTCCAGTTCCAGCTCCAGTTCCGGTTCCGACAGCGACATGGAACACCTGAACAGAAAGGCTGAAATTGTGTGTTCGAAAGCTGACGAGAAGCTGGAAGGAGCAAGCCACAAAGAGGCTAAGGACATCCAGAAGAAGAGAGACGAAAAGCTACGCAAGATTGAGGAAAGGATGGAGAAGGCGGAAGAGTCTGAAAGAAAAAAGAAGGAGAAGACCGCTAAGAAGAGGGAGAAACGCGCCAAGAAGCGAGGAAAGCATCACGCCAAGGATCACAAAAAGGCTAACAAGATGGAGTTCATAGTGATAGAGAGCTTGAAAAGCGATTCAAGTAATTGCGAATAGATAGAATGGAAACTTTGTTAGAAAGCTCAGAACGATGTAACAACTTTTCGATTACTACCTCGACGTCAGCCTCCTTCTTTCTGCTCCCACCTCCCATAAGACGGTGTATTAGCTTAGAGCTTCCTGGCCCTGAGGGTTCAAACTTCTAGTTCCTTACATGATCACGCGATGCCGTTTCCTATCACGACAAGCCATATACTTCTGATGCGAACAACCCTAACCAACAACAAGGCCAGAATGAGGTGCAACCTGGAGACTGCAATAGGGCTGTATTCATTCAAAATACCCAGGATAAACGAGATTTCAGCCATCTGATTCGATGTGCTGCACATAGGGGAGGTTGCGGTGCCAAATGTTTACTGGAAATACTCTGGATTTGAAATGTTGAAACCTTAGACTCCATCTGGGTGGTTCGGGCTTACACTCTTCTCACGGTCCGTACTGGAAACCGACGAACTCTCAGCCGCCACGTAATCCGCTCTGTTTGGGAGCAAGTGCAAAACTGGTAGCCTCTTCATCTGTCTCTCTGATTCTGCGGCTACCTCCATCTGCGACAGCTCTAACCTCCTCTTTCTAAGCGCCTTGATAATGTGCCAGGCTGAATGCTGCTTTTTAGATCTAATGTCATAGACCAATTCCGAGAATCTTTCAGGACTGTCCTGATCTGTGTGACGATGCTTCTGCAAATCACTCAATCGGCTGATGAAATCCAGCTCCACGATTCCGGACGATTTCGGCAACGGATTAGGCTGCTTCAAGATCCACCAAAACCCGAAGCCTGTCAACATCACTACAGAGCTGCCGGCAGCTATGAACACCAGTACTGTCCAAGGGTGACTGACGAACCTCTTGATCGAGCGCCCACCCGTGGCAGTTGTGAGAAGCTCAGGTGGAAAGGTTCGTTTATCTGCGGGAAGTGCAAGCGTATAGTTTGCGTACTGCATAGCTGTAATGGCAAACTGCAATGGAACCGAAAGAAAGTTTTGAAGCAACTCGACGTGCATCTCGTTGTCCGGGAAAAACTCGGTATAGGTACGATACTTCCATGCCATTCTTGCAATTGTAATGTTGATTGACTCAAGGTCAAGCTGACTCGAAAGTGGTCTCGGTACAAAGATTCTGTTCCAGATGAGGTCCATGTCAGGCACTGACATCTTGACTCTGACGGGTTCTGAAATGGGCTCTGCGTGCTGAATTGACAAGTCCTTCTGGCTATAAGTTGTCGTCGCGTTCTGTCGATAAGCGGTAAAAAGCGTTTTTGACACCAGCGGCGCTCGAGTCCATGATAGTTGCGTTGCGCACGCCCTTGTGAATTGAAAGAAGCTCGGACACGCCCGCCAGCCTAATCGATTGTTAACCTCTCTTGGAGACTTTTGACGGAAATTGTACTCTTACCAGCTGCAACCGAATCTCCAAACTGCTTCTTACACATCTGCAATGCATCTCCCAACGGCGTCTGATAGACGTTGCAGTCCTCTTCAATATCAAATTCGAATCCGTCAGCTACAGGCTCAAACCTGGCCACCATGCCAGGTGCACCCTGAATCATGATCGACTCCGTATTGTTGAACAGGCCACCTTTGAGGATGGTGCTGTTAAGAAGGGGTCCCACTTTGCGAGCTATCTCCATGCCGCCTGGCAGAAAAGAGACCGAACAGTCTTCAGTGCAGCCTTTCATCTTCCAAGTTGTGGCATATCGTGGGTAATTCAGCAGTTGCTGTGTCCATGTATCAAAGAAACCGTCGAGATAGGCTGTCGAGATGAGGCCCAAGATTGACACGTCAGGAGGAATGTTGCCAGCATATACGTCGACCGTTACGCCTTGCTTGATGAAGTAATCTTCAAAGCTGTTTTGAACTATTGTCGATCAGTTCAAACTTCAAAGTTGGCAAAATTCGCATGAAGGGCCGGAAATACATTTAAGGACTGAACCAAGTCCCAAACCCATGAAAGGCAATGCAAGTCTTCCAAGGTTAGCGCTCTGAATTGCTCCAAGGGGCACATATCTCACCTTATGACACCCCAATTGCTCCGGAACCTTCCCTTGAAGATGAACTTCATGGTAGAAAACCAATCAGTTGCGGGACTGAGTTGAAAGAAGCTAGACGCCGACGCCCCATCCACACGTCCTGATCTAGAGGCAAGTGACCACCGCAATGCATCGGAGAGACTAAGAACAACATATGCTAACAGCATGGCATATAGTTGGGAGAGTAGTGACAACAGTAGGTTGGTGAGAGAAGCATCGAAGGTCCATGAGCCGATAACGGGATTGCCCTCGAAGAGAACGTGGTAGATGAATAGCGAGTACACGACGGTGAATATGAGGCTTGTGATCCATGCCGTGAGAGCAAGCCCAATAGGACGGCAATTTTCCCTCAGGCTCCTATCCGTCACTGCACGTGGCCTTGACGGCGACGCGTAGGCAGTCTCTCCTGCTGCGTTGAGGAAGTCGGGGTTGGATGGGACCGGCTGATGGGATGGGAAGTGAAGATCCAGGGGAATCCTACGATCAGGGTCGAAGATTAACGAGATCTCTTCAAGCTCGGAAGAGTAATCGCTCTTCATCATTGTGAATAGCGTGGTTCTGTCGAAGTCCGACGCCAGCCATCGACGGGTTCCAATGAGCCTCGAGCACCAGCTAGTAACATGAACTGAATGGCGCGACGAGTGCACAAAGCTCTGCTAAGATAACGGGGGCTTGCTGCCATTGATATGAACGGCGTCATGGTGTGACAGACACAGGTGCTCGCTACATCTGCATTCCTCTAATGGCGCATTAGCTTTGGCTTGATTGCAAGATGATTACTGGCCAGGAATCGTGGGTGGCTTTCTGGTAACGACGATGACTGGTGGAAGTGAGTCAAGATGGCTGCTTGTAGTCGTGATTGCCTTTTAGGCTGCAATCAAGAACCTCCAAGCCCCCTACCTGGACGTTGGGTAGCTTCGTGGGGACGATCTGGAACCACCCGCGATCAAGACGGGAACCCAGAACGGGCCACAACACTAACCAATCATATATTGAAATATACAGTTTTCGATCCCTAGACGCCTCCTGCCCCTGTTATGGGAGAACAGGTGCCTGCACAGTGCTGACGGAGCTGAAAAGCATGGTGCGGGGTCCCTGGTTCCCGGTGAAGGTACGACGGCAAGGGTCTAACATTGCTTTTTCCCTTCCAGCAGCACGATCGAAACTTGGCCTGTCTTTGCAATCTTTCGTTTCTTCAAGACTGAAATCGTCGCAAATAACAGGAATGGGATACCAAAAAATACTTGAGCCAAAATCAAGCTTCCAACTAAGTACGATATCCGCCCGCCACGATCGTGACTACGGCGGTTGTGGCTGCGCATGTTCCTCGGGTGGTGTAGCCAGCACACGAAGAGCGACAACCACCAGATGTGGCGTTTTTAGTCTATGCAGCGTGACCAGAACCACGTCCACGCCCATGCGCACAGCCTCGAGTACGTTACATTCGAATTGATTGACAAGCCAGGCCTGATGTCCGGTTGTAAGATCGGGCTCGTGTTGAGCCGGTTGGTCGCTCGCTGCAGTGGCGGCATGCTAATGAGTGACCCTGCTCATTTACTTGCAACTCCATGACGATTATTTGATCTAAGCTATCGTTATCGCTACAAGATTGGCAAGCCTCTGCAGATAGCAAGTGACTTTGTTATGCATTAAATGTCACTATCAACGCAGTCCCATGCCAACCAGACAGTGGAAGACCGCCTGATCCGCTAGTTATCAGCACGAGCACAACTGGTCATGATATATTTCTGACTGATCATCGAGAATTCGGGCCTAACTTCATATATCATGAATGATTCAATATAGTTCGTATTTTTCTAGTTGTCAACCTTTCCAATACTGCCTATAATTTTTGTGTAGTAAAACGCGTGGAAACTTGTTGGATGCAAGAGTTGCATCTGCGCTGGGGAAATTGCGTTAGCGACAATACTCTTGATGCTTGAATACTAGCATTGCTCTGTTTTCTAGACTTGAGTCTTGAAGCAATGAATCTTACTTACCCGATGATTTGAACAGGCAAGCGAGGTGAGATTTGTGGTACAGTTGCTCCAGGCTTTTACAAGGCTTCTGATATATGGATATCATAGAACAGGGCGAAACCCGGCCTCTCGCGATCAACCTCATTTTGCCACATCAGATTCTTATGGTCGCGTGTGGAGTTGGATGTGTTACTGTGTGTATAGCATTTAACTTAACTTAGTAAGGTCGTTGTCAATAGAATGATCGCGACCCATTCATCAAGGATTGGAAGGGCTCTGCTGCCTGCAATTCCGAACGCTCTGCAGGTCGCACCCATGAATTGTGGAAGGAATAGCAGCAATCGACCTTGGAAGCGTACTGCAACACTGCGAGGGAACTCGAAAGCTCGCGAAGGGACCAACAAGACTGCGGATAGACGCCAAGGCGGGAATTCGGCACATATGTCGGTCTTCCTTGCTGCTTTTTGTCACTGCGCCGCAATTGGCACTCTTCATACCTTTTCTCTTCATCATAATTACCCCATGTGCTGCGTTTTTCTTCCGATACTGCCCTTGACTGAACACGCCACCGGTGGACATCGTCGCCCCAAACCATCGATTTTATTCCAATGCATTTACTCCCCTCGGCCAAATGGTTCCTCGCGGCCTTCCACGCAGCTGTAGCTGTCGCTGCGAATTCGGGAATTGTCGAGGTTGACCTGGTATTTCCGCGCAACGACACCTACGCTCCGACAGCCTGGTTCCCTATTGTCTTCGCCGTCCGGAACTCAAGCCTCGCGCAGTTTGTCAACCCTTACATCGAAATAAGAGTCCGCAACTCAAGCGATCGATTCGACACATACGTCACTCATGACTACGATCTTCGACAGGCGAATTTCTCCAGCAGCGATCCTTACTTTGAGAGTCGTGACCGTCAGGCAGCAAAGCTGCCTCGCGGATGAGTCCAGCCTGGCAAATTACCACGTTAAGAATGTAATCTCAAACAACACGATACGACTCATCACGTTTACCATCAAGAACGCGGCTCAGGAAGTCGATCTTGTCTCTGCAACGAATAAAGACGACGTCTGCCTCAGCGCGCAAGGCGTCGCCATCAATATCACCGATACCGTCGAGGGCCTGCTCGGGAGGCAGTGGTGGGGTGTCGGTGATACCTGCGCGGTAGTGGCATCTCCTACTCCTACCGCGAACCCTTGCCAGATCAAGCTGGATTCGGCCACTGCGGCGAGGATATCCGCGTCAGTAACAGCTGCGGAGTGCCGACTCTCAAACCCGACCATTGATTGCCCCTCCGACGATGAGGACAAGAATAATGCTCAGCGTTTGGCTGTTGGAGCCATGTCCTTGGTAGCAGTCGCTCTTGGAGCGTTGGGTTTTCTTCTGATCTGAGATGCATCTGGCGAGACCTTAGATTCGGGCAGTAGTATACTCCAAGATGTTCCTTGTCATTGGTCATGAACCTTTCCATGCCTTACTGGTCACAGTTGCTTTACTGACAGCTTGCCATAAGGTCAGAATTAACTCCAACAAGGATTCCATAGCCAGTGGAGGCAAGGGGCGGGACCGAAGATGGTCGAACGAATCAAGAGTCTAGAGTGTCGAATTAGGTGTCATTTCTAAACAGCTTCCCCCAGAATCATCTCCTCAAGAGATGGTCGCTGTGATCCGGTGGTGCATCCAACTCTGTTATTGTAACATGCTGAGCCTGTATCTCAGCAGTCTCTGGCTTCGGCCACTCCGTCCACAGCTCATGCTTAGGCGTAGACCCACCATAAAGCTCTGTCCTTGCCGGTTCGGAAGGCAATTCTCCTGGGGGCCCAGCCTGGTAATATGTTTTGTTGCCGGGATCATCTTTGAACTCTGCAGCGGCTGTCGCTTGGTCCCCCGTGCGCTTTCTTAGGAACCAAAAGGCTGCTGCGACTAAGGCACAGCCCAGGAACGCTCCTACAGCGGTGCCAGCTATCACAGCGGTAGAAAGGGTTTTCTGGCTTCCTTCATTGAGACTACCGTCGTTGGATTTATTGTCTCCATCTCCAGTAGATGAGCCATTCGAGGTTGCAGTGCTCATGAATAGGTTCTGTACTGTCTCAGAGGACCATGCGACGGAGGTGAGACCCCTGTTGGACGTGAGCATGGTTTGAAAGTATCGGGGAAAGAATCAAGTTTACCCTTTCGTATACCAGTCTTGAATTGTGTTTGCGGTCTCGTAGTCTTTGGCTTCCGCGTCATAATCTGTTTTCCATGCCCAGTCGGTCATGTCGAACAATCCGAGGCCGTTCTGCCAGGGGTCCGCTCCAGACCAGGCTGTCTTCCCGTCAGTGCCTCCGACAGAGAGGATCTGACGACGGCCAACCACGGTGCAAGTGTGAAATCGCCGCGTGTTCTTGGACTCGTACGGTACTTGAGTCCACACGAAACCCGGCAGACTAAGAACGAAGACGTCATCGAATGTTGAGCCGCTATCAGTGTTGGTACCTCCGAAGACAAAGCTGCTGAAAGTTAGTATCGGCTTGTTACTTGAGAGGAAGGAGATACTGGTATACATCTCATAAGTTCCGTTCTTCCCCTCGGCGCCAACATAGCAAAATCCTCTTCGTGCGGTCGGGGGCGTGCCCGTCGTCTTCTGCCAGTACCAGTCCTTCGTGATAGGGTCGTAGAAAGTCAGGTTGCTGAAGTCCATCCACCCATTCGGCGTCTTCTGACTCGGCTCAAGTGTGAACGTCACGCCTCCCATGACGACAATTAGACCATTGCTTCCAAACGTTGGGATATAGACCGCCCCGCCACCAACAATAGTGCCATATTCTGAGAATGCCGAAAAGTCTGGCGTCGTGTCATTGCTCCAAACCTTGGTGGTCATGTTGTATGAAACAACCCCAGGAACTGGTTGCGATGCGGGATTCGAATTCGTCCAGCCCGATGCGATACCTCCAAACCAGAATGCTGCGTCGCCTGTGCTCACGTACGCACCCTCCTCGCACCTCTTCAGCTCCCCGAAGAATGAGGGATTCGCGGGCGACTCTGTCAACCACTCGCCGCCGCCTTTGCCATCCGCCTCAAATTTCCATAATTTTGGTCCATCGATCTTTCCTCCGTACGGCAGATGTCCGCCCCAGATGTAGAACGCATTCATGCCCTCGTTTTTCCACATGGCTTGCCCGTCCATCCCAGTGGTGGGTTTGTCAATGATTCGTATCGTAACATTCGATGATGACCAGGAGGTGGAGAGATCGATCGAGTGTGTGGAGTTTACTGAGATGCCTTCGAGTGAGTGGCGGGCCGCTTGATGTCGAACGGTAAAGACCTACCGGCATTTGATGCCCTGTTCTTGATGGGAGTGCCATCAGCCCCGAGCTGTGACATCTCCCCGCCGTCTATGTATGCATAATGCCCGAGAGTTGTAACTGGGAAAGTTCGGGTCAGCTTTAATTTGCGGAACACTACAAGAAATGAGTTCACCTCTGGCCATCCCCCTGCGAAGAAAAAGTTCTGTTGAGGGAGCTGCTGATAGCGCCCAGTCCGACTGCGCGCTCGCGCGAGCAGGGATCTGCGACACAAGCCCGAGTATCGCGACGGAAACCAGTGATCTAAACATTGCAGGAGTCGACCGAAAGAAGCCAACATGAACAATGGCAGGCAAGCGCGAGAAAGAACAACAACTTCGCCAGGACTCCTGCTAGACACCTTGACAAGAAATTTCATCAGGACGAACCTTTGCGAGAAGATGGGGGTCGTTCATTCTTGAATGGCAAGTGTTCCCAAATGTGCGACAGCGTCAGCCCTCCTGATTGTCATCCGCTCTTGTCCAATCGCTCCCCCGACGTTTTCAAAAGCCCCAAGACGCTAAGAGGGAGGGTATTAAGCGACTGCTAGCCCATCGAAATCCCCCCAATTCTGGTGCTTGGACGGGGGCGCATTTCTTCTGACCCAAGTAAGACGAAGTATACCGATACGCTGCCTAAGCTTCCCAAAGACTTTTCCAAAGACATTCACTGCTCTGGATCTCGAGGTCCTTTGCGAAGTTCTGACCACGGCTGTCCATTCGATGGAACCCGTTCCGGTCACCGGCCCCTTTTGAGTGCGAAGCACACGACGACGTTGAACAGCCTGACCCCCTACGGTTACAGAGGATTACAGCGGGCACGGGAATGGAGCACAGGCAGCAGCCTAAATTTAAAACGACGTTAGGCTTATGTTTTAGCGTGATGGCAACCATTGGCAGCAAATCGATGGTGAGGGGCTGATTCAGGGGCTATGTGCTGCCAGCTAAATCACCCACCTCGACGTTCATTGGGCAGGTCTCTCAGGAACAAGCAATGTCTCCCATCTTGGCGGTAAGCACTACCATGGTTCGCGACACGATGCTTCTGAGTCCGAACAAGCCAATGTAAATCTGTTCCTATTACAAGGTCTCTTCAATATTTTCGACTGGCGGACACATGTTGGGGCGATTAATATGGGACTTAAGCAATTACATGATTAAATGCTGATACCAAAGATTGATACGCACGCAAATGATGACATATGGGGCGGAATCCTAGAACCAGGCGCAACCATGGGTAATGTTTCCAGTCTAGTTCTGTTTGACTGGCTAAATGTTTGGGAGAGAGAGAGCGCGGCATCATGCAACTTGAACACTGCACATTCTCGAGCATTTCAATTCAACCAACCGTGCTGATTAAGCATCCACCCCAGATAGTCGTGATTCTGAGTCCCTTCGATAATGCGAAACAGAGTTTCACGGATGATGTGTCGGCCAAATACGTACGTCTTGCTATTGAAGCAATAAATGTTTTAAAGGCATGTAATTCTGAATAACGAGGCTGAGTGTCATCATTCTCAGTAGGCCGAGCTCTATCAGAGGCAAGATGAAGACACTGCACAAAATAACACGTAAGGAAATTCGAACAGCTCGCGAAAGTTCGGTATCGAGTCTGACTTTTCACCGTTCAGACGTGAGGAAATTGGGGAAGTCGTCACTGGGTGGACCAATTCAGGAAAGGCTACAGGAGGTTGTTAGCAATCTTGACATTGACAGACAACAGTAAAGTTCAATTCCTATGCACGTACTACACCAGCATGTTTTCTTCCTTACTGTCATAAGCAAGACTTAGTGATGTCTGGCTTCACGGTTCGAAACTGACTAGGAATATATAACTTAACTTACCCCGGAGACGGCGGGGCCATCGCGGTGAGGGGATTCACAATAACGGGCTGTTAAAGCACTGTTGACACATTCCGATAATTGGCTTTCGAACGTTCTCATCGCAACGTCAAGTCAGGCTAGGTAAGCGCCAATGGATTTGGTCGTGCTCTGCTCATGTGAAGACTCAGTCTCAGCATGTATCCCATGCCAGGCAGAGAGATCTGCCATTGCTCCGTATCCAAGTCAAGATTCGTGGATAGCCACAACGATGTATTTACCGCCGGACCTGTTACAGGACGTAAAATGGAAGCAATGTCTATGTATGAATTCGGCAGTGCAGACAGACGCGCTGGGAGGATTTTGCTTCTGGTGGTTTGATTGGCCTGAAAGTAGTCCGCAAGATGGTGCTTCTTTTCTGTTCCATATGCCATGGGACGGGGAGATAACGGACAACGGCGTCCGAAGGAAATAAGGTTCGGGTGTGGGGAAGTAGCCGCATGACGTCTCCCGCCGGCTGGGACACCGGAAAGATCTGCCCACAATACGACCAGGTGCTTCGGATTCCTGAAAAAGTGATCACAAATGAATGCGAAAGTGTTTGATGGGTCCCAGTCCATGTCGGCGGGCCGAGGTCCGCAATTATTGAGCCGATGGGATAACATAGCCCCTTGACGTTCGGCGACTCGGAGACCGATAGCGAAAACAGACATCTGAAGCAACAATGACTTGTTACATAGCCTTGTTCATTTATCAGACGCGGGTTCGAGACGAACTATGAGACGAACTGGGAGCCTTGCTCCGCCTAATAAGGTTTCCGACAACGCAGTTACTAAATCCGTTGTTGATCATGGACTGAGCTCAATAACTTGAAATGACTCGGTTGCCCACCGCAAATGACTCGATGGTCCAACAGAAGTTAATTTGGGAGTTAATGGGAATGATGATCTGCAGCGCAAGGCGAATTCCCACAACTAACTAATCGACCAGACTCCCGGAGACAAGAACCTATGCGGAGAGCCACGGAGTAGCCCGAAGTCCATTGAAGTGTCACAGTTGACCATCTCGTCATAAATACCAGAGACTCGCCAGGGGAGAACTACAGCTATTAGACAACTCCGACTACACCCTTCCATCTACTTTCAATATTTCACACTCAACTTTACCACCCCAAATCAGACATCATGAGATACACGCAAGCATTCGTCGCCGCTTCTATGGCCCTCGGCGTTATGGCCGGCTGCAGATTCGCTCCCGAAGTCTGCAAGTCAGACGTCGGCCCCATCTCTCGCGGACTCACTGATGGCTGGGTCTGCGATCTCCCGGAAGATCTCCCTTGTCAAACTACTTGTGAGATCACTGGTGAAAGACAGCGTTCCGAGCCCGGTGTTGTCGGAATGGAGACGATGAAGTGCTGCAAGCCTAGTCCCAACTGTGAGTCATTCATAAGCTCAACACATCAACAGCAGGGACATTGACATTACTGCCATAGGTTAAACTCGCTTCATGCCATCAAATGTCACCAAAGGGCCTCGGGCTTAAGAGGGCCAATGTTTTACATACGATTGTACCAAAATTGGGGATAAACGTACATCATGCAAGGGCAGAGATTCGATGAAGAGCGCGGTCTCACGTCACCACAAAAGGCGCTGATAATCTACAATTGAAAATTTTCAAATGCCTATTACTCTTGGTCCCCGTGGACGACATGTTGATGCACTTCAATCATCACTAACCTCTGCGAGAAATCTTTTGAATACCCTATGTACCTGAACGCACCAACTCTTGCATCATCTGTCGTGCCCTCGTACTCAACTAGGCGAGGAAAGTGCGGGTTTGTAATCCTGGTGCATATTTCTTGTCAGAAGCCCTGGTCGGCGACAGATTCTTCAGCTCACCCCTTACCTGAAGGGAAGCACAATTGCAACATAACTGTGCCTGTATCTGATTAGCGATCTGCCTTTCAAACGAACCAGCACCATAATGACGTAACCTGTCCACGGCAAAAGACCTAACTATGAGCAGTCGCGTCAATGGGCTCTTCATGAAGACCAAAGTTGGACTTCCGCCCTTCAGTTCAGTTGATAGCCGCCATTCGCCAGTGCACCAACTCCTTAGGTAGATACTGATGCACTTCGGTCTTCGGAGCAGAGGGCTAAAATACTATAGATTATTCTACAACATCTTCCACATCAGCCGGATCCGGCAAAAACTTTTTGTTTCATCAGTTGGTGGAGTGTTAGGCCTAAGGCCGTTGCGTCTGCAGGGTTGACTGCCACTTCGGTTCTAACAAAGGGTTGCAGCTGGGCCCGGGACATTCACCGCGCATTCAATGCTTATAGCTTACTTGGAACTCAGGCATCCCTCTATTCTGGGCGCTTAGCTCCAAACACGGCGCGCAAATAAACCTGGAGAAAATTCATTTCCGGTAGAACAGTCGGCAGCTGAATTGAATGCTCAATGCATGAAATTCTTTGCCACGCAGATCCTCCTGTTTGTTCAGTCGTGGAACGTAACCATGACATTGGGCGTCCATAGCAAAGAACCATCCATGACCAAAAGAAAAAGATAGATAGCAAGGAATACACTGCCTTTTGGCTTCTGCCTACGCAGGTGGCTCGTGTCATTCATTCGCCGTAGGCCAGTAGGACTCATGACGATTACCCTTTGTCTCAAAGTTATTTCCTCTCGTGATAACAATACTAGAGGACTAGACATTGAACTTGATCAGAAGATTGCATGATAGATTGATCAAGGTGAAGTTTTATAAAACAGGGAGCCTTGAATCTCTCTGTCCATGTTCCAGATCTACACATAAACAAGTATATCACCATTCTGACCAGCTAAAGTTACTACCTACACATTTTGCATCCGACAAGCTCTCCGCATCAGGCCACCGCACTCGAAATGGACGATAAGACCCTCTCTCAAATGAACGCCGAAGGCCGTTCCAAGCTGGATGACGCTATGAAACGCCTCAAAAGAGCTGATGACCCCGAGTGGCACAACTTGCTCCCTCCGGCTCGGCTTGCCCCGGTCCCTATCTGCAATACCTTCACTCCCTACCGCCCGTTTCCCTCCAAGCTCAAGTTTTACTCTGGCATGGACTTCAATCTTCTGACGCAGGTCGGTGTTGCTCACCTTGGTGACAAAACAAACCACAAGATGTTTGCAGTCTCAGGATACAAGCTTGAATCAGGCAGCAAGTATGACGGTCGCCCAAGATGGATTCTTCACAATGGCCCCAACAGCAGCGACCCTGCCCTAGCTATGATATCCGAGATACCTGAGTGGGGAAACGATGATGGGGAGGGCGTCCTCACACTCCCGTCGACGCTGCCTTTGGGTGGAAGTAGCGTTCCGAGCGACACGAGCCATGCGCCTGGAGACACAGAATTTATGTGGGCGTCGCAGAAACGCTCTATCCCCAAAACCCAAAGATATACTTTGATGATTCCGCTTCTGGACAATGGCGAAATGAAAAGCAGCTGCTGTGGTTGGACGCGGTTGCCGGAAGAAGAATGGGGCGAGATCAACAAGGGCTTTTCTCTTCGAGTCATACAAGGGAAGTATATCGAAGATCCCCTGTGTATGATGCGAATGACGATCCCTCTCAAGCCTTGGAAGTCTCCTTTCAAACTTGAGCTGACCGACAACAATGATCATGGAGACAAGTGGCCTGTAATGGCAATTATCTCAGCAATCAGAGCGTGGGAACTTCGAATCACTCTTTGGGGCCGTGCTGTTGGTTTTGGCCGTGAGATCGGTCGTGATACAGAACGAGCATTTTTCAACATGATATTGTAGATTGTGCAGCAGAGACCCAACGGTTTAGTTCGATCAAGATATTACTGAAGCCTGACTTTTCCATCTTCCTTAGAGCTATGAGTCATCAAAGCAACGGCGTTCCTAGATCCAGAAGCACATAGGCCAATTGATTGACATTCCTGATAAGAAGATTTGACGCCCTTAACTTGAACGGTATGAATTTCAATGCACCTGTATGTCTACCATGACGGAGGGGTTGAAGTGGAGATACATAGGATGATCTTTTGTTGTCAAGCGAATTGTCATCATACCAGGTTCCGGCGTACCCCGAGACTATTCGAGGCTTTGACGATATTGACTGGTGGTTTATGTGAACACTTGTCAACCTCGTCGTCAAATGTTGATGCAGTAAACTAATCATCTAGTCTCATATCTGCCAAGAGATGTCTGCTGTCAGTTGACAGAGACTTATCAGACAGACCTCGGGCTTAACGTGTCTTGGCTCAAATGCTTTCAGCCTTCTTGGCAACTTGGCATAGCTCGTACCTTCGCAGTGATCACGGCGAGCAATGACTCCTCCAAACTTGAGTTGCATCTCATGGCCTCGAACGTGATGTCATTTTCTCTTTCAACTTTCTGTGGGCCTGTGAATTTCGCCATCCACGATTGCCCCCATCCATCTTTTCCCACCTTCCACTTTTCAAGCTTGTTTCCCCGAGTCAAACCCACTCAATTACCTCATCTCCATCTTGAAACAAATATGTTTTCTTTCAAGGGGCCGACGCTAAAACCGAGATTTCCGGCGCTATTCCATCTTTCGATGAGTCGTTCCTGGCTAGGAAAGGACCCGGGATCGGGGTCGCCCACACAAAGACGGCCCGAAGGATCCGCGATGCCCAGAGCCCGCGGACGCCTTCGAAGCCCCTTTCCCGCAGAGTTTCATCCACCTCGATGCGGCCGACTCGTACAATGGCAGCAGAATCATGCTATCCGACTCGCTGTTGTTCGGCGCCATTGCCGTCAACACACAAATCACCGTTGACGCGTGGCCGTCACCGGAACGACCCCTCATCACCTGCACTAGCGTCATTTAGACCAACTGAGACAAAGCCAACAGCTGAGAGACTAGATCCCCCGCTACGTTAGCTAGCTCGATGATTCCAGGTCCCGACCGACAAAGGCAGCTCTTCGAGATCCAAATACGGAATGGGCGCACTATGCATTGTTCTATATGGAGTAATATTATGGCGCCACCTGAAATGCCGCTACCCGCAGCGTCAGCACAGCGAGCGCAAGAGTTCCTGATAGCGCAGTAATATCAGTCGAGGGCCCTTTCCTTTGACACTTGGCATCACTAACGGGTGGAGAGGACGAAAATTCGGACTCACCGTTCACCAAACGCTTTGACTGGCAACCTGAGCTACGGGTTGACGGCCCACGTAACTGGGAGCGCTCAGAGTAATACGATGCCGTACTCGGCTTTGTTGTGCCGAGAGACGCGACAAAGGGCATCCGTCAACTCAACTCCACTTGATGTACGTGATATCAGTGGAAGATCAAGCATAAGAATTTGCTTATAAGGACCGCATCGATCCCGAAGATCATGGGTTTCTTTCCTCTTCATCTCATCAGCTTCAATCATTTACCGCCTCGGGCATTTCAGTCTTTCAACCACACTCTCTTTACCAACACTCTTTGGTATTACGAGCCTCCCACAGGTCTTTTGCAACATTCTTCAAAATGCTCTACCCTCTCGCTCTCGTTGCCCTCGCAGGTCTTAGCTCTGCTTCGCCCACTGTTCAACCCATCGACTTCGATGCCATCGTGGCTGCTGCCACCCCCTCGCTTGTTGGCCCTCCCGCCACTGCCACCGACCAAACCGGCGTCTACAACGCTGTAGCTGCCTCTTCGTCTGCTGCCGTTGCTGTTACTGGTGTTGCTTCTGCCAGTGCCACCGCCTCTGTCGTTGCCCGCAACCTTGAGGCTCTTGAGGCTCGCAGCCTTGAGAAGCGCACTTACTGCTTCCTCTGGTGGTGCTGGGGAACTCCTACCACCACTACTTCTGCCAAGGCTGCCACTTCCACGTCTTGTACCACCTCTACCACCGCCAAGGCTGTTGTCACCACCACTTCGGCCACTCCCGTGATTACGTCGGCCGCTTCGACCATCACCGTCCCCTCCAGCTGCACCCCCATCAGCTGGACCAACACCTTCGCGTTCACCACCGCGACTGGCTGCGCTGCTCCCTTTGAAGTCGGCACCTACTGCGGATTCATCAACCCTGAGGACCCTTGTGCCCCTCAGCCCGCTGGCAGCGGACCTCAGGTCCAGCCTGACACCGCCAGCGCCTTCCAGGCCTACGCTCCTTTCCATTCCATGGCCTCGAATGCTCCTACTCCCAGCGGATACGCCCAGACCTTCAAGGACCTTGGTGCCTCTGTCAACGCCAACAGCTACCTCGGCCTGCACACTCTCACCTCCTACGACGTTGCCCAGTGCGCTGCTTACTGCGACAAGACCGACCTTTGCACTGGTATCAACATCTACATTGAGCGTGACCCCTCTATCAACCCCGACAAGTGCTCTTGCCAGAACCCTTCGTCCATCACCAACTACAAGTGCACTCTCTGGGGATCTGGCGTTGACAGCGCTGCCGCCACCAACACTGGTCAGACCCGTGACAGCTTCCAGGTCGTCATCGCCGGCTCCAACGGCTACCAGAAGACCAACAACACCACTCCTACTACTCCTTCCGGCTGGACCAACCCCAAGAACTGCGGTGGTGTTACTCACAGCCACCCCTCCACCTGCATTGGCCAGAAGTTCTTCCCTGGTCCCTTCGATGTCAGCCTTTGCGCCGCTTACGCTGCTTCTCAGAACACTGTCAACTACAAGTCTCTTGGTCTGTCCTCTTGGGCTAGCTGGTTGGGCTACAGCCCCCTGAAGTGCAACTTCTTCAACGCCTTCATGATCAAGCAGAACGGTGTTGCCAAGGGTACCTACTGCAGTCTCTTCTCCCAGCAGTACAACCCCTCTGCTGCTTCCTACAGCCCGGGTGTGTCTGGAAGCATTAGCTGGAGCGTTGAGAGCAGCTGGAGCTTCTGCTCTGCTTAAGAGCTTTCTCTCTTTCGAAAATTTCATCTCTCGTCGAGCTTGACAACGCACATCGACGAAGTATTGTTTAATTGTTTATTTTTGTAATTTATTATAGACTTTGCCGCGACCAAAATAGACATTCCTTACCTGATTTAAATCCATTGCATCAACCCTTGATCGCGTCTCCCGCTGGTGAGCTATAACACAATTCATATCCTTACGATCGACAAATGACACCATTAGAAACCAAACCACATAAATTTCCACCAGCTACGACGGGAAAGATTGCTTGATTAAGAAACTTGGTTGAGCACGTTACATACTCAATTTATCAAGGGCTCTGAATTTTCACTCTGCCTCCGAAATATAAAAGGTCTGGTTTCAACTCGTGGAGGGCCGAATCCATTCTGTGCAACCTGTCGACATTCGACTACGTATCTCATCTTGAACTTGCAACTCCAAATACCTTGACGATGCTGTCTTATGCTTCGATCGTCGCCTTGGGCTTGACTAGTTCAGCCTCTGGGGCAATTTGGTTCACGGCACCGGCAAATATTCCGCAAGGAAGTGGGATAGTGGTGTCGCCATCATTCGTGTCTTACTCGATTGAGTTATCATATCTACCAGACTGCGCTGGTAAGTTATCGACCTAAGAACCGTCAAGATAACACTGATTCATATTTGGCAGGTAACAAATCAGTCCCAAACACGTTCTCGGAGAATCTGTTGGAGAAGTTTCGCAAATTCAGTGGAGATGATCGCCCAACCATCCGCGTGGGTGGATCAAGCCAGGACGGAGTTGGCTATGATTCAGACCTAGAGGTTTTCCGTATTCTCGAAGAGAGCGGCGATCTTCCTGCTAGGCTCACAATTGGGCCAACGTTCTTTGAGTCTCTCAACACTTTTACTGACACTCGCTTCATCTATGGTCTCAACATGAAGCGCTCAGTCCAGAACGAGACACACTACCAGAACATGCTCGACACTGTTGCCGCCGCCTGTAAGGCCTTGTCCAACAACAATCTGCTCGGTTGGTCCTATGGTAATGAGCCAAACCTGTATGGGTTTGACAATTAGTATCCTGCTGATTACACAGCGGCGTGGCTGAAGGGTACTCGAGATGCAAAAAGGTTCTCGAGGACAAGTGCCCAGACCTTGCCGATGACGACAAGTTCCGCTGGCTTACGCCATCACCTTCCAGCTTGTCATCAGGACACTTGAACATTCCAGACATCATAGAGGCGGGCATTGACGAGGATGGCTCAGTCTATTTCCTCGGAGCTCATAGGTACGAATTCTGCATGCGTCAATGCAACCAATCGGCAGCTGACATGACTTCCAGCTACATGGGAAATGGACGAAAACCTGTAAACAAGCAGGCCAAGCTCATGAACCATACTTCTGTGGAAGGTTCCATTAATCGGCATGTAAGCCTGATGAAGAAACTCGTCAACTACACACAGCCGTGTTCGATAAGCGAGACCAACAGTTTGTATGGGGCGGGCAGAGCTGGTGTGTCAAACACTTTCGGAGCTGCTTTGTGGGCCTTGGACTTCAGTCTGCATGCCGCAGCCAAGAACATCACCCGTCTGAACTTCCATATGGGCAGAGACTACCGCTATTAGGCTTGGCAACCTGTACAGACATCCAAACAGGACATCGGAACAAAAGCACCCTATTACGGTAACCTGGCAACTGCAGCCATCCTAGGCCGTCTCGGTAAGGACAAGGTTCAGGTTGCGAATCTCCCAGCTACTGGAAACGGGGCCGAGCCTGCGTATGGCATTTACCACTCTGGAAAGCTTGCCAAGGTGGCTATTCTGAATATGGCCGAATACAACTTCACAGCTAGCGGTAATGCAACCGAGACTGAGCTCAACAAGTTCAAGCGTAGCAACCACAGCTTTTCCATCAACCTCGACAGTAGTTTCAACGGCAAGACTGCTACGGTGCTTCGTCTCATCGCTCCGGGTGCTGACTCGATTACTGGGATCACATGGGATGGATACACCTTCAACTATGACGTGGACAATGGCAAGGCTGCGCGTGTCTCAAACGTCACTGTTGGCGAGGAGGTTGCTGTTAGCGATGGCAAAGCGACCCTTTCTATCGCGGACAGCAGTGCCGTGGTTGTTGAGTTTTGAGTGTGGAGTGCGCATTGGGGTTTTTGAATTCTAACCAAGTATACCTTGACGGCAGCTAAACTCAACATGGCTGCGTAATACTTCATAGGAAACATTGTATGACTGGAATGCCACTATTTGTATGTAGTCAGCCGAACTACTAGAGCAGAAAAACAACCCACAGGGCTTGATATGGTGCTTTTCATCGAGAGCTGCAACCTTCGGTCTATGTAACTTCTGGCTTTACACCTGATTGTGACACGACATTGGCAATATTGCGGCCCTTTGTCGCACCAGCTGCTGAGCTAAGTGCTTTTCTGAAAATCTCCAGCAAATGGTCTGTGTCTTCCATCCCCACGCTGAACCGAACGAGGTACGGGTCTACACCCAAGTTGGATGCCCATTCTAGCTCCTTCATGTGTGCGAGAACAACATACGGCGATGTCAATGTGAAGTTCGTACCCAGGCTAGGCCCTTTCGCTCCTTCCATGTTGTCGTAAAAGGTGACAGCATCTTCCTTGTGATGAAATACGACGGACATCAGGCCTCCGTACCCTCCGTCGGCCAGTCTGCAAGTTTCATAGTTGGATTTATCGCCGTTATATCTTGGATAGTACACCCTCTTGATCAACTGATCGGCTATTAGTAGTTTTGCAACAGCCTCCGCGTTGATATTCGTCTGACGAATGCGTGTAGTAAAGTCGCGACTGTTCCTTTCCATCAAGATGACGTCCTCCGGCCAGTATGTGTCTTTGTACTCTCGCTCCGCGATCGCCTTTAGACTGGAGTAGTAACGGCCTGTTGGATTGAAGACGGCAGAACCTCCAGTGACATTACATGCGCCAGAGAAGAACTTGGTGAGGGAGGTGACCACCACGTCCGCATATTGAAGAACGTTGACATTGGCGAAAGTTCCAATCGTTTCATCCACCACAATGGCAAAGTCGTACTTATCCGCGAGCGACCGAATGCGCTTGAGGTTCGGACATGTGAGCAACGGGTTACCAGGAAACTCGCAAAAGAGGGCCAAATATCGTTCCCCACGCTCAAGCCGATGCTGAATATCGTCCAGCTCAACCTCGGTAGCGTTGCCGTAAAAGACACACCCGGGACCAAATTTCTCAAGGATCTTCAAGGTATCCACATAGGGGAATCCGAAGCTTATGCTCTTCATGTTCCCACGTGTGCCGAGAAGGAATTGGTGGGTGTTGAATATGGCACTCATTCCGGTCGGGAAGATGTAGACGTCGTCGGTCAAGTCATGAGTACTGGAGCTGCGTGGCCCTGTTTCGATCGAAGTCCCGCTCTCTGCGTGTGCATTGAGATGGGGCCTCAGCATACTGGCGATGCGTTGTTGAAGTACTTCTTTGGCTTTTCTCGAATCACTCAGGAGGATCTCGACTTCCTGATCAAACCCCTTTTTCGCACAAGGCATGGGTTCTTGCCACATGATACCTCGTAATGTTTCGCTGGTTCCCGATTTTGAACAAGACGAAATCTCTTTCTTTGATTCTGGGGGATGATAGAGCGGGGGACCATGGCTGTTCATCTGTTTCGTCGACTGGGCGCGATGATCTGGTACAAGTAGAGCCCGCTGGAGGAGCCAATGGCAGAACTCCGCTCGTCTACTGGAAACACCGAGTCCACTATGCTGCCAAAACTGGTTTACATACTTGAAAGCGTCCGGGTAAAAAATGACCGCCGATATTGACGGGGAAAGCGGTTTCCAGTAAACAGCATCCGGATTGGAGTCGTCCACGACTAAAGCGACGGTCTCAATACCAACAAGGGAAGGGGCTGGAGCATGAGCGTGCAGGAATCCTACACACAGCTGGGCAGCATATTCATTGGGAAATAGCATGGCTCGTTGTCCTGGTGTATGGCTGAAGTCTGAAGCAACAGTCTGAGCGAAGGATTGTATGCTTCTGTGGATGAAGAATCGCGGGTACCCTGTGAGCATGTTGTCGACGACCCATCTCTCCCCCGTCGCCCAGCCGACATTAGACTCCCATGTCGGTAGAGAAACGCTCACGGCCTGGAGAAGCAGGAGTGGTCAGTAAATGCAACCTGACAGGTTTGGTAGGCGTAACGGGAACTGACATGGTCTGTATGAGGGGGAATTGACTCTCCCAAAGGCAGTTGTCCCATTGCTTACACGTTGAAAAGGGTTGTCGAGACTCGAACATCATACAACACAGAATTTGCAACAGTCGGGGGAAACATCGCCCTTTTTAAACGGCGGACTCCACCTCAGGTAAGACAGCCAAGAATCGCACCAAAAGCGGACAACAAGAATTCCAACTCCTCATGGTTCTGGTGGCCCTCTGGTTTCACCAACGCCACAAGTGGGGATACGAGGTGTTCTGGTCACCAAAATGTGTAATGAAACTCTCCAGTGAGACTAAAGTGAATGGAGTGGTGGGGATAGACTCTACTAAATTGTTCTGGTGGACGAAGCTATTGCCTAACGTCTACTTGGGGAAGGCATCATGCTTTATTTACTACGACGATGGGTAGTTCTGCGAAATCTGGAAACGTTTGCGGGGAAGCGGGAACGAATTGGCCGGAAAATTGCTCCGAGACATAACATACGGCTGTGAGACAACAAGGGGATGACGGCAAGCGGGTGCGAGATGACGCGTAGCCGAATGTCGCGTAGCTGGGCGATGATCCACAAGGAAATGGAAAGCAAATAATATTCCTTCGGTTATATAGAAGTGAGTCCAGAAGAGGACCGACCTGTTGTGGTGCCACTGAGACATTGTTAGAGCTCATATCCACTTGACCTAGCTTCAGCCATGCTCCAGGCTTATCCAGCCCTATCCATACACACCAAAGAACTCGCTATGAGATTAGATTGGTCGCAAAAGTCTCTTGGAACTGGTTTTTGAGTTATCATGCTACACGAATAACTCGTATGTCCCTTCACGATTCGCACGCAGGACACTCACGCAGTTGTGTGATCCAAGGCAATCTAACAAGTCATCTTGCACTATAGAAAGACTTCTTCGGGTCTAATTTCCCCTCTAATAACAATTCATCAGGAGCTTCATCAACTTTACGCGCAATCAGGCTGGGAGGATTGTGTGTCGGGATTGCGGCGGGGGTCATAAGCATGCCTATTCTCTTGGCGTCACACAGATAGAGCCTGATCAAGCCCGTATTTCAATTAGGCTGCAGGCACCACCCGCCTTATTGGTTGAAAAGTGCACATTTGATACGGTTATTTGGATGTGGCTGGGCTCAGCCCCTGGATAGACGCTGGAGCTATGTTAGATGACATGGGAGGGACGAAAGCCCGCTGGATATATAACAGCCCTCTTCGAGAGGACGTGAAGTCCGTAGATTGGATTCTAGGTCAAACATTCGCCATGTCTCAACGAAACTGGGCAGAAAAGCCCTCTGGATACGAACCTGCTCGCGTCTACGACGTGGAAGACGAACCTCCAGGACCGGATACTATCGTATACAAACGCTACAGCTTTTTTAGCTGCACCGAATGGGTTTTGGAGATTGTCGCGTCTATCGGGAGCCTGGTCATTATTGCGGCGGTGGCTGTCATATTCAGGACAGTGGATAATCAACCTCTATCGACCTGGACCTTCCCCATTTCTCTCAACGCCGTTATCTCGATATTGACGACTGCTTGTTCAGCGGCTATCATGCATAGCGTCAGCACATTCATCAGCCAGCTGAAGTGGCTTCATTTCAAAAATGGACCTCAGAAGTTTGAACACTTGGAAAAGTTTGATGAAGCCAGCCGTGGTCCTTTGGGCTCTCTCAAGGTTCTGGTCTCAATGAAATTGAACTTGGCAACCATCGGAGCCTTGGTCACGATTTTCCGTCTTGGTCTGTCACCATTGGCTCAGGGGGTGGTCAAGATCGATGAACGGTCCGTCAAAAGCACCATAGACGAGAACGTCACATTTGGATTTGCACATGCATACAATCGTGATGTCACATTTCCCGATCTCCGTACGTATATCTCGGGTATTGTTTCGAGGGTAACGTGCTAATATCGTCTCGTTTCAAAGGCGGCATCCCTCAGGATCCCAACATGCAAGCCGCCGTACTCCAAGGAGTCTACAACATTAGTACTCGGGCAACTTTTTGCCTGCCCTGTTGCGTGTAAATGGAAGGGACCATATGTGTCGTTAGGCTTCACAGCCGAGTGCAGAAATGTCACCCAAGCGACATTACAGTCACAAGTCTGCGTGCATCCGGTTGATTACGACGAAAATTGCAACATGACGACGCCGGGGAATATAGGTCTTTCTAGCCGAAGACGGAACACCTACTGGGGCACTCGCTACCAAATGAACGTGTCGTTATCGGAGATACCAGACGAATTTCCGGAAATCGCCCGATTCGCTATATACCGAGCAAGCCCCGATCACAACTTTAAGCTGCTTGACGTTAACATTACGAAGTGTTCACTTTCACTGGCTGCTTATAATTACACCGACGCGCAGTCAAACGGAACGTCCTTTGCCTTCGGAGACACGCAAGAGATTGGCGTTGGCGGTAAGGAGTTTTGGAGCTTTACTAACCGGTCCTATTTTTTCGAAGGAACAAATTTCACCAGCAAGTCCAAAGCATCCAATCTGCCTACGTTCGAGCTGTCAAGTGATGACCTTGAGGCCTTGCAGGATTTCCTTAGGTCTGAGGCAATCACCACCAAGTGGGTAGACGGAGGCCCTGATAAAAAAAACCATGGTCTTAGCGCCGCTGCTTTAGCTGGTGACGTAGACATTGGAAAGCGATTTGAACAGATGGCAGTCAGTATGACGGATTACCTCCGCTCAGGTCCGAATAAGAAGTCGGTAACGGGAGTAAGGGTTGGCAAGATAGCGTTCGTGTCAATTCGGTGGTGGTTTTTTGCTGGTCCTGCTGCGATCGAAGCTTTGGCGTTGTTGTTCGCCGTGTTGACCATTTTCAGCAACCGGGAGAATAGCAGGGTCCCTCTATGGAAATCGTCTGCTCTTGCCGTCTTAGCATGTGAGCACGAAAGGAAGTCAGAGCTGCTGAAGACTACGGTCAAGGGTATCAAGAAGATTGAGAAATTGGCGGAAACTTCTTTTGTGAAGCTGGAGTAATATTGGACGAAACGCAGCTTTGCTGCAATTATTGAAGATTAGAATGATACGACATGGCTTTCGGTTCATTGTTACATATCGCCCCGGGTGCCGTAATGGCATGACTGTGGATGGCTCGAGAATAATGCAGGTCGTGGATGACAGTAGCGATGGCTGCAGCCGCTTCCTGGAAGTAACCGAAATTCGTGCTTGAACAAAGACATTGGATGCTAGTTTCGCCACTCAATTTGTATGATCTCAGTTGAACGGCTCATTGATGGCTCTTCGGGTCAAGTCGCCTTGTGCTGTGCTAAACGGTTGACGCGATGTCATTGGCTCCGGAAGAAGCCGGGTGCGCTTGAGGGTCCGTGCAGACAAATTCAACTTCGCGTCGTGTTCGATTATTTTCACATCTACAAACCATCCCGCCTCCATTCACACTCACGAACTTATGAACGGACGTCTGCTCAGGTGCTGTTCCCTCCGCGCCGGGGCCTACTCTGCATTCGCTTGCCAGACCTCTAGACCGCTGCTGCGGCGCCTGTCAACGTCGCCTCAGACACGCTCGACTGTGGAGCATCATCAAAATCACCAGATGGAAGCGGACACTCCCCCGATCGCCAGCCTCGACGTCAAGCTGGATGCCAACAGTGTCCTTGAACCAGATGAAAATGACGATCTTGATCCGGCCCTAGAGGAGCCTGAGCTGCCCCCGCCGCCTCCGCCACCACCGGCGAAGGCACCGAAGGGGTCCCCACTCGAATGGCTATATTTCCCGACGAGAGGTCTCGCAGGCACAATCACACTTGACGAGATTTTGCCGTCCACTGTTCCGATCACCACCACTGGCGGCTTTGAGACTCTGTGTTCTTATAATTGGGTGGACACCAAAGATCCTACCATCATTGTTCCAGGCAAGTGGATCCGGGTCAACCCGACGGACATCTACCCGCCTGAGTCCCCTCACGTCCCAGTGACAAATAGCTGACTTTCTGCAGGCGGTGCTGCCAAGTTCAATAGCCCTGTCTTACCGGTTAGGCTCAAGCGGGATATCGGTTACACGTTTTGTGATCTCAATCGGGCCAAGGCTCCCCGGCAGCCATTCAAGGGATTATTCACTGCCCTGGCCGTGATGTCTCCAAATACAAAGCTTGACGACGTTGACGTGATCTTGACCCGTGGTGCTTTTCAAACTCTGCACAAGTTCGTCAAGAGTGGATGCTCAACTGCATTCATCCTGCAGATGAACGTCATCAACAAAACTCTCATTCTCACATACAGAGAGGAAAAGAACAGGCGAGCCAGCAGCAGGAAAAGCCCCAGCTGGGGCCACGCGTTCGAAGAGGGTTTCACTGCATATGATGACGATCTCAAGGAAAGCCTCGCCCATCACAGAGCCATCAAATATCAGTTTGGCAACCTCAAAGTTGCAGTTCTTCATGAGGTAGACGCCTCATACTCTGCATCATTCGGATCGCCAGGGCCCGCGACATCTGCTGGAAGGAAGGCAAAGTATTTGGAAAAGAGGAGCGGGGCCACCAATCTTGGACATCTGGTGAAGTCAAATCAAGATGTGGCAGTAAGACTTTTTGGGACTGGCACAGCAGCCGAGAACGTTGCGGAGATGAAAGCGACGCAGAAGCCTTTGGCGTTGACTGGTGTCCCCAACGAGGCAAAGACCCAGTGTTGGTTTGGTAGGACCGGGACTCTCGTATTTGGCATACATGAGAACGGCATCTTCAAAAAACATTCCGTCAAGCAGTTCGAGTTTGAGCCCTGGTGTCAGAACGCACAGGAACCCTTGCAGAAAGTCGTCTCCCTTTTCGAAAAGCTCCGCGAGCAGGCCCGCCGCATCGGCAACTGCGGCGTAGCGATTCTCAACCCCAAAAGCTCCAGAACGCGACTGGAAATTTGGACGCCTATTCGAGCAATTGTCTTCAATCCAGTTTCACACGACAGTTTTCACAGGCATTGGACTTTCCAAAACGATTCCACAAATTATGGTTTTGCGCAACCTAAGGACCGTCGGAGAAAACAGGAATTGAGGGGGCCGCAAGGCATAATTCGCTAAGATGATCATTGAGGTTGCGGCGATGGCGTTGGGCGGAAGGACATTTCGGGGAAAGGATTACAGCGACACCTTAATCTGGCGGGGTTTTGTTAGAGGAAAGATGCATTTGACCAACCTTGGTTTCTCTGCAGCTGGTTTCGGTGCCGAAGGAAATCCCCACAATGGCTTTCGGCGCCGAGTTGATGTAACCTTCATGTACCGACCATGAAACCAAGCGGGACCAGGCTCGACTTTCAGCCCGAAGAAAGCAGCCAGGATGTCGTTGATCGGTCAGTCTGGGTCGGGAATCTGCACAGTGATACGTTTAGAACGGCAAACGGCAATTGAGTTCATCCCGTACGTGTGGGGACGAGGTTCTTCACGGCCACATCATATAAGAAGTGTGCGTTATCGAGACGGCTCTCCTTGTTTCCTTTACCGCTTCACCATCATCTGACCGAATATTTCCCCTGACATCATTTTGATAACTTCCTTAGCTATGAGTTTCAAGGCGACTGATGTACTCATTGTTGGGGCTGGGCCCGTCGGCCTGGTGACGGCCCTCGGTCTCGCGCAACAAGGCATTGACACGGTTATTATTGGTTAGCTTTCCGGACTTGCCATCATATTGGCCGATTCTAACATTTGTGTAAAGAAAAGCGGGAGCTGGAGGTTCAGGAATCCTTCGGCCGAGCCATCACTCTCTTCCCCCGCACCCTCGAGCTCTTGGAGCAGGTGGGCGTGGCCGAAGACATGGTGCAAGCGGGCAATGTCGCACGAGGAATCGCCACCTACCAGGAAGGGAAAAGAACACCGGCCGTAGGCCAGCAAACGATGTTCACCGCCATGAACGGAACGTTCCACAACTACATTCTCAACATCCGACAGAAGAACTCCCAAGCGATCTTCGCGGCCAAGTACAGGGCCGTTTCGGGAAACGACGTCCAGTACCAATGGGAGCTCATCGACTATCGAATCGACCAAGCGCCTCAGGACGGCTACAATGTTACAGCCGCCCTCCAACATCCTCAGCACGGAACGCGCTCGGTCAGATGGTATGTCGTCTAATGACATGCTTCGATACCGTGGAAGCGGCTAATGTGTGAAAGCAAATACCTAGTCGGCGCCGACGGTGTTCAGTCGCAGGTCCGACAACTTGCAAAGATTGAAATGATTGGCGACGAAACGGCATACGAATGGGTCCGCTTCGATGGCCGTATCAAGACTGACGTTCCTGATACTGAACTTGGTTTTGTGACGATCCAAAGTGCCGAGTATGGCAATGTCTTCTTGGCCAGGATCGACAAGGATGCGTTCCGCATTGGATACGTGTTCACCCCAACGCTGAAGGCCAAGTACCCCGACGGTCTTACCAAGGAAAAGGCTCTCGAGGAGGGGCTCAAGTCCTTCCACCCCTTCAAGGTCGAGTTTGAGCGGCTCGACTGGTGGACTATCTACACGTAAGAAGATCGGTTTCGAAACCTGAGATCTCATCTAACAGTCCAAAAAGTATTAGGCAAAAGGTAGCCGAGACCATGAGCAAGGATGAATTCGTGTTCCTTGCCGGCGATGCCGCCCACACGCACTCGTCTGGCTTCGGTCAGGGCATGAACACCGGAGTCCACGATGCCATCAACCTCTCTTGGAAGCTCGCTGGAGTCATCAGGGGATGGTATCAGCCAGAAGTCCTCCACACCTATTCCGAGGAGCGCCGTGCCGTCGCTCAGAAGGTCATTGACATTGACAAGACTCTAGCGGCGGTGATGTCTGGCGATCTTCCTGAGACATGGAACGGATGCATCGGCAAGCCTGAACACAGCAAGGTTCTGGGCGATTTGCTGACATCGAACGCCAACTTCAACATCGGCTTCGGCGTCAGCTACGGACCCTCCATCATCGTCAACAAGGCCTGCACCGGCAGTGTGGCCGTGGGTTACCGCACCCCTGACGTGCTTCTCAAATCGCCTGGTGCTAGCACTCCCATCCGTCTGCAAACCATCATCCACGCCAACACTGGGAAGTGGAACGTGCTCATCTTCGCCGGTCGCCCTTTCCGACAGAGAGAAAAGCTGGCTGCACTGCGTGAGGCGCTGAAGTCTACCCATTCTCTCACCAAACGCGCTCAGACGTTGAACTTCACAACCATAGTATGCGGTACTATTTCCAACACATGGGACGTTTTCGACGGGGTTCCCCCGAGCTTCGTCTACTGCGACGTTGACGGCCAAGGACACAACAGCTACGGAATGTCAGCCACGAGCGGCGGACTTGTTGTTCTTCGCCCAGATGGCTTCTTGGCTGCTACTTATCCGATCGAAGATGTTCAGGAAATCGCCGTTTTTTTGGACGGTTTCTGTTCTGATAACACCAAAGCACTACCTATCGTTTGAAAACATGTACCTAGACCTTTAAATTCCCTAGACCCATCATAGACTTTTGCAGTTGCGGGATTTGATGGTATCTACATTAGAGCGCTGGTTCTTTAGATTCGCGGATTAGAGATCATTCAAAGATTCATCATGACGACTAGAGACTTTGACAATTCTGTGATTCAAATTAAGCCAGGCCTTATAGACGCCGGTCTTATCTTGCTGGCTAACTCGCCAGGGGAACGTACCAGAGATCACAAACTACAACCAGTGGCTGGAACGAAGCCCATTTGCAAAGTTTCAAACAAAAACATGCCAATTCATCAAGCATCATTCTCAATATCCTGACAAGCCTGTCCTCTGTCACCACTCGACCTCAGATTATCCAGGAAGTCAATCCCAAGAAAATCGCCAAACCACGGCTCCATTTGATCAAACATCTCTTCAAAGTCATGACCAACTGCGGCTCCGACTTGGTCGACAGACTCATTTGGCTCCATACCTGCAGGACCAGCGTTCCCTTGTTGTCCGTCTCCAATTGCCGCTGGGTTTAAATCTACGCGATCCAAAGCCCATTCAAAAATAGATAAGACCCTCTTTATGACCGGTGAGCCCTGGAGCTGCTCAAGAATAAGCATTCCTTGACGAATGTAGATGAGCGACATTGATTTGGTTGTATTGGACTCGGTAGCGTCTAGAGCAGCCTCTATGTGGAGGGCAAGTGCTATTGGAATATTGGAATTGCTTCAAGTCAATTATCAGCCTATTCTTTCAATCCATAGGGCGTCCTTGGGCACGTACAACGACATGGGGAGGTTTCTGAGTTGGTCATTTGCAAGTGCTCTCCCAAACAGCGTATCAAGTTCGAACATTGAAGATCGAAGCCGCGCTCGCGCCCAGTCGTGCCGGGTAACATCTCCAGTCTTCCAGCAAAGTTTGAGTGTTCTGTACAGGATACACTCCAGTCGATAGCTCGCTGCCAGCAGGGATGTGAGGTAAGGACTATCGACTTGCTGATGATCTGCGCCAGCAGCCTCTCGGAGCTGACTCCGCCAAGCGTGAAATTCGCGGGCCATGGCTTTGCCATCGACCTGGCCGGAGTCAGATACTCCCACAAGCCATCTAGACCCTGAAGTCATCAAGTCAGACACCTGTTCAATACGTGCATTGTCATCTTGAACCGTACCTAGGACAGACAACTTGCAGTACTCAACAAAATGGCATTTTTGTTCAGTGGTGACCTTAGAAGGGAAGGACGTATTCGTGTTGTTTCCCTCAGTCTCCCAATCTTCTTCGGTTGGCAAGGTTTGTGGTTTCGTCTTGTCGCTGACTAGGGGCATGCTTTGCATACCCAGAAATGACAATAACACATCTCGACACTGCAACGAAGAGTCAGTTTCAACAGCAGATGGCTCAGTAGAAGGTACACCTAGCACAGTCAACTCACGTAGATAACCCACCAAATTCGTTTGTACAAGCCACGAAGTTGGGCGTCCGGGATGCGTAGCTGATCACTCAAGTTCGCATCCTCAATCAGCTCCGTCTTCAGGCCTGTCGTGGAAGTTTCACGAGTACTCACAGCTTTTGCAGTTCCAGCTTTGTGGCAAGCCGGACCGCGTTGAAGAACCAGTAATGAACGTCTCGATCAATTGGGTAAAAGAATGCAGTTGTACCCAATATTAGAGATCCCTGAAGCAGACACAACTGGCTCTTCTCACATTGAAAGTCGTGCAGTAGTAGGGCCTTGTTGAAGAAGGCTGTTTGCGCCTCTGTGATATTGGAGTACCCACATGACGCGAGGACATCAGTTGGTACGTAAAGAGTAGCACTTGCCAAAACCGTCTGCATGAGGAACGGGGAACAGGATCCTGACTCGTAGCTATTCAAAAAGTGGTTTCGGTCCAGTACTGGCGAATATGGATGAACGAACTCAAAATACGCAGTCAGAAAGACAATTCTCGATTGCTCATGTCAGTTTTATAGGCTTATCCCTAGGGTCAGGTCTGTATCACTTACAAGCTATCCCGTTGCGGCAGCACAAAGGCACCCTTCTTCATCAGGAAGTCCAGATCGACTGGATCCAAACCCGAAATACCTACCTGTGGGTTCTGCGGATAGTGCGGAGTACTATTGGCCGAACTTGGGGCAGGCGATCCAGCTCTAACACTTTCGTTTCTGTCATTGCCGCTCATCGCTGTTTTGAGTATACTGAGATAATGAACTCTGCCGTTGTACTCTGCTTGCGCCTGCGGAAGTTCATCAATGTTTTGTATCCTTTGGGGCGAGCAACCTGAGACAGTAGAACTCGTCATTCTCTCAAGTTCCCTAGACCCATGAGTCCCGTCAATTCGACGAGTTGAAGGGCACGGGCTGTCATTTGAGAGACTTGTATCGTTCACAGAAACATGACTTGATGTCAATAGTGTGGGCGGTTGGGCCTCGGAATCCTTCTTCAGTCAGCCCCCCTGTATCAATGCATACGGTATAATGTGGAATTTAGGCTGCACAAAAGCGCAAGATGAAGATAACGTTAGTCTCTCACATTTGGATGACAATGTCTCTGTTGTGTCAACTCATCGGCTCTTCGCTTTCTTGAAGATCACCGTCAGCGGGCTGATCCAAATGCCATCTAGCTGATAACACCTACCTCTTGCGTTGTTGGCGAGACACCAATTTGCAATTCTCGGGGTATCCTTTGCTGACACATCGGCCGCATGGTATTCCTGCGACTGGCGCATCGCACTTCACTTTACGCGAGTGGCACTCGATGCAGGCCTTGCTAAGCCTCGCCGCGGCCGCTCCAACGTCGGCGGCGGTCGTCATCTGTGATCCGTGATCCACTCCGCACCGGAGCAATCCGCTGCCAAGGTGTTTCGATGTCGGTCCCGTGGATTAGCGGATTTTCGGCAAGCGGGAAATGATGATGAGAAGTAGAACAATCGTCGACTACACAGGCTGGCTGGGAGAGAGGAACACATCAATGATTTCGGCGCCGAAGAAGACCCAAAGTTCGGCAATACGGCTTTTCGGCATTTACGGACTTTCCGGAGGGACCAGGGTCCGTGACCCGTTTTGTGAGCTGAAAAACTCATCTTAAGTGTCTACTGCAGGAGATTGCCAATTGCTTGAAGTTCGTTGTGTTATAAAGTTGATTTTGTTGCAATATGCACCTTAGGCATACCAAGAAAACGGAGTCAAGCTTCATAGTGCCCGACATCCATGAGGGATTCATCCGTAGAGCCACCATGCGGCTCCAGCAACGGCAACAGGTCCCATGATCAGCCCCATCTTCTTGCCCAATCCTTTCAATCCGTTGACGGCGATGATCTTCACCTTCTCATCTAGCCAAGCCTTCTCATTCAAGTGCGGGAAAGGGACCTCAGGGACATCCTTGCCCAAGAACTCGCAAAGCGGGCCCCACCCATCCGCCAGATCGAACTCCAGCAACCTCTCCTTCGGCGTGACCCTCCTCAACTTCTCATAATGCTCGCGATATTTCTGTCTGGCTTTCATGTCGGCGTCTTTGACATTCCAGATATCCAGCCATCCACCGGTGACACTCCTGTGGATCTTGCCAATGGGATGGACGTAGAACCGGTCAAGCTGATATACGAGACTGACAAACGGATCAAACATATTCGCGATGACCCCTTGCATGTAACTCTTATGCCAACTCTCCACCTCCCTCTCAACAAGCACAACCTTGGCCTCAGGGTACGCCGCAATAAGCTCCTCCGCAAACGCGACCGCCGGCGTGTCCGACGACACGGCGCCGTACGAGTGCAGCAGCTGGTCAAACTCGTCCCGCCCGACCGGCTCGCCGGCGCCGAAGAACTTGCGGTCGACGGCCTCCTGCCACATCTCAATGTCGGCAAAGTTGGTCGACATGAAGACCGTCGAGTGCCAGCAGGGGATCCCCAGCTTCTCGAGCGCGGCGCACATTGCTGTTTGGGCGGCTGAGGTTAGAGTTTATGCCGGCGCGTGAATGTGATTGGGACTGGGCCTTACATGACGTGCCTGTCCGGGGGAAGCCCAGACAGAGGACCTGCATCGGCACGGTTCTCTTCTTCCCGCGCGGGGACTCGGTGCTGACCGGGCGGAAGAGCTCCGGGTGTCGTTCTTCTACGGTTGCCATGGCGGGCGGGCGCTGTTGCTTTGGCAGATGGGGATGATTGCGAAAATCGTTTCTATGTCGTCAAGAGTAAGATAGAGATCGTCACGAGGCACTCTGGGAATATTTTTGAATCATCCATCATAAGACCGTCAATTGAGATTTTCCACCCCCCTTTTGCTGTTAATGTGCTGACGTGAGACTTGATGTCCAAGACATGGTGGCGTCGAAGGAAGAACTTTGGTCGAAATGGCCAGGGGAGGGAGATCTTATCGATTAGATCTCAATGTCCAGATTTTCACTTCATCACGCAGTCATGTTCACTGGAAAATTTGAACTTTGGTACGTAATCTCATGTGGCCCATCCGGGGATCTTGCGGGGTACTAACGCATGCATGCCGGCATGGGCCCGACTCTACGGTTAAAGTAGTGAATGGCGTGGCATGGCGTTCGTTGACGACGCGTGTCGAGGGAAGACAAACGTGAGGTCCATCGTGGTCGCGAGGACGATAAATGCCAGAAGTTCAGACCACTGCCCGGCCCCGTCTGAAATCCAAACTTCATGCATCCTTGGAGTCAAAGAGGGACACGGGATGGTTTATTTAAAGACGAACACCTCGCGACCAGGAAGCTCAGAGCGAAAGCCGAGCGGCTCAATCAAGACAAGCCCCTTGTTGTGCCGCCCGAACGCCCGACCCCGAAGGCGCGCGTAGATGGATCACAGTTTGTCAGCTCGTCTGGAATTCGGCCGGCCGTGGAGATCAGAATCCCCCATGGTGTTGTTTAGATGCCGATTCGTGGCAGAGGTATCGCAGGAACACCGGTCGCCGTACCGACATGCACCATCACACATGGCTTCACTGCTTACGCTGCCATGGTCCAATGTCATACGCCATTCTCCTCGGATCGCGAACCGAAAGATGCACCAATTCATTAACAATAATACCCGCTAATCATACTATGACATAATCCCACCGTCCCTCAAAACATGGCGCCCCTTCGGAGCGGGGACGGGGCGGCGCGCCATCGGGGTCTCCCCACCACGAGTCCGAAGCGCAGGAAGAAATAGGGGTCGCCCGCCCGGACACTGCACTGCACCCACGTCCCTTGCAGTAGCACGCGTGTAAGCGGGGAGGGAGAGACCGCGCAGCAACATTGAACGTTACCAAACCAACCAAGCGATGAACGATCCCACCGTCCGGGCCTCCGTACCTTGCTGAGGCCCGGGCGTCTGGCGGCAGTCCGGCGATGCGCCATCGAACGCAGCGACGTCCGACGGTTTACGTGAATGGGCTTCGATCCCTTTGGCTTTGCGGCCGAGTATAAACATTGAAGAAACCCGCCCGTACAAATACTTGAATTTTTCATCTGTTTAATCGGATTATCTTGTTCGATACAAAAGACAATTTTATACCCGGATTTAAAAGAGTAATTTCGAAAAGTAGACATAATGGCGTCCCCTGCAGGCAACATCACCTTCGATGGTAGGTCTTCACACGGTGAACACCAAAAGCGAGAGAAACTGACGACGATCTCCAGACTACCTCGGCCTGACGGCCTGCCTGTTCGAGTGGGCCGACTCCTACGACTCCAAGGACTGGGACCGTCTCCGCAAGTGCATCGCCCCAGAGCTCCGCGTACGTCCCCCCTCCACCCATCTCCCCCAATCCATCACTACCTACCCAACTCCCGCCCTCGCGCCCCCCCTGCGCCCCTCCCACAACCCCAACCCCGTCTCCTCGCTCCTCAGTCGCCCGGTGGAGGAGGACGACGACCAATCTCAAACTCACATCCCGCACCAGATCGACTACCGCTCCTTCCTCGACAAGATCTGGGAGGCCATGCCGGCCGAGGAGTTCATCGCCATGATCAGCGACAAGGCCGTGCTCGGCAACCCGCTGCTGAAGACGCAGCACTTCATCGGCGGCACGCGCTGGGAGAAGGTCTCCGACACGGAGGTCATCGGGCACCACCAGCTGCGCGTGCCGCACCAGAAGTACACGGACGCGACCCGCAAGACGGTCGCCGTCAAGGGCCATGCGCACAGCTACAACATGCACTGGTACAAGAAGGTCAACGGCGTGTGGAAGTTTGCCGGGCTCAACCCCGAGATCCGCTGGTCCGAGTACGACTTCGAGGCCGTGTTTGCTGATGGCCGCGACTCCTTCGGCGAGGACGAGAAGAACGATGTCAAGGTTGTGGAGAAGGAGCTCAAGTCTGCGGTGGCTCACTAAATATGTAATCTGGGCGTGGGATGGGATATGGCGAACTTGGGTGTCACTTTTTGGGAATGGATGGAGGTAATGTGGGTGTTCATGTAGGGGCTTATTCAATGTGTATAGACGTACCCTGATATCCAAATACTACACTTACCTTCACAAACTCTGTAACACCGTGAATTCCTATTGACGAGTGAGACTTCAACGAGTAAGACCAGAACTTACTGTGGTCCCTCTGGTCCTCGTCCAAGTCCCCAACGCTGTCCCAGCTGCTCTTCCCGCTCACGTTCCCGCGCATGGTTGATAGCGAGTGTAATCTCCTGCTCAAACTGATGAGACCCACGCCCACGCGCTCGCTCCCGCGCAAGCTCCAGCTCCAACGCATCGACGGTAGCGACCTGCAACATGGAGTTATACGAGCACAGGGGGAACCTACATTCCATACAAGGCACACCCGGCATCTCGGTGTCGTTGCGGCAGAAACAGGGGTACGCGAGATCGTGGGGGCAGCGCTTAGATACACCAGGACGGCCAGGGTTGTCACGCTGCTCGTCTGCTGCTGGCCACGGGTTCACGAAAGCCGGAGTTTCGACGTCTTGGAAGCGCGGCTGCGGGCGGGGCAGGCTGAGAGGATAGGCGGCGGGCCGTCGCTGGCCGATGTTGAGGGGGTGGATGAGGGGCGGTTGGTGGGTGTTGTTGGCGATGCCTGCGGGTCCTGGGGCGGGCTCGTAGACGGTGCCGGCCGGGGCGAGGGCGCCGCGGCGGAGGTAGTCGATGAAACGCGGGGTCTGTAGCTGCTGGGAGGCGGGCCCGTCAGTAAAAGATCCACCGATGATGGTAGGGTTGGCTAAGTGCTCAGGGGTTGTTGCGAAGGAATTGGGAGGTTGAGCTGGCGGGGTGTTGGTGTTATCTTCGATGGCGGCGAAGTCATTGTCTGGGGTCTCGGGACGACTAGGGCTAGCGTTCTGGTGAGTGTCGTCTCTAGAAGCCATTTTGATCTGGTAGTATGTGATAATATGGGATGGGGATGCTGTTTAGTTGGCTTTTGGAGTTTGATGTGTAGTTTTGGAATGTGTTTGATGTACTGATGAGAAGACTTGACCTTCGTGAGCAGCATTCAGTGTTGTTATATGCATCATCGTTGATGAGAGCATAACATGTAAGTCAACAGTAATAACAGATGTGAATGAAAACAAAGCCTTTGTATTCTTCCTATTCTACAAAGCTCAAGCGAGAATGTAAGGAGCTTCATGCAGCCTGAACAAAGCCAGAGATCGGTCGCAAAGCATTTGCCCTTGTTCTGGTTCATGTTGACTATGGACAACGGCTAAGTAGCAAAAGAACCAGCCAAGTCTTAGTTTTTTCTCCTCACTAGATTGAACAAGTGAATCTTAATACATGTGAACAATTTAGTTGTCCAGATAAGCGGAGCTCATGACGGTGAAAGGTCAAATCGTTACGGTCAATCTCAGTCGGAGGTTGAGAGAAACAAGACCTTGTCATTGACGTTGGAAATACAGAACATCAAGCATGATGTCGCAAGATGAAACTTCGGAGAACTGATGTTTTAGCTGAATCAGGTAGAATCCCCAACAATCAGCAAAGACATCCTGCCATCTCCTGTTGAAGTTGGTCCGGAGCAAACGGAGATAGGTAGTGGAGCCAACTCGGGGCCGTCAACACCGGGCCCCATATATCACGTGCACTCACTATGTGGATAGGAACTTTGGCCATCCGTCCTCCAGCTGATGACATAATGCGGTGGGGTCAGGAGGGGCAGAACCACCACTCGGCAGTGCACGGAGCAGGGGTCCCAAACGTTGACGGGGACTTGGAGAGCTCCGTCGGAAATCGGTCTCGCATCCTGGACTCGAGCAACCACTGCCTGCCACATCACCCCACGAACTCGACCTCTTTTGCAGCAATTCTGTAAAGGGCTTTCACGGTCTTGCGGTTCATCAACAGCTGCAACATCACGGAGGACTTCCAATTCCCCCGAAATCAACCACCGAACCTCGCTTGACGAAGCCGCTTCATCCGCGCCGTCACGATGGACTACACATCCCAGCGGCTTCAAGAAGAAGCCGTCAAGCTCCAGACAGCGAGGTACGCGCCCCCCTATCCCATCCCACTGCTTTACTGCCTGAAGAAATCAACTGACTCTGTTCCTCTGCAGCTCCGACGCCTTCTTCACCCCGCTCAACATCATCCTCCTCCTCGTCCTCGGCTACACAATCTACTCGATGCTGGCCCCGACCCCGCCCCCGATCCTGCCGAAGGAGCCGCCGGCAACCGTCTTCCGCGTCTTCAACCCGCGCACCCTGCTGCCCTTTAACGGCGAGGAGGGCAAGCCCATCTACTTCGCGGTGCGCGGCCGCGTCTTCGACGTCACGCCGGGGCGCAACTTCTACGGCCCCGGCGGGCCGTACGCCAACTTTGCGGGCCGCGATGCGTCGCGCGGCCTGGCGTGCGGCAGCTTCGACGAGGACATGTTGACGGAGGACCTGGACGGGCCTTTGGACACGCTGGAAGGCTTGGGCCCGGACGAGGTGGAGGCGCTGCAGGGCTGGGAGGAACAGTTTGACAGCAAGTACCTGGTCATTGGACGGCTTGTTGCTGTGGGCGAGGAGCCGGAGGAGGATAAATGAGGAGCTCGGTTGAGTTCGGAGGGGAGTGATGGATGGTGGCGGAGGTATAGAGAGCGAGGTTTAGATCGGATGGGAGGATTTGATAGATGCGTGTGGATGGGTCTCACACGCGACAAATATCAAGCCTCATGCCACGCCGTTGTTGTGTGTCTTTGTGTGATGACCCATTCTCGGGTGATGCCAGGTTGATCGGTCTCTTTGCCGTGACATGTCGAGGATGCGGTCAGAGATGGGTGCTCTTTGTGGCGTCGGCTGCATGATGAATGATTGACAAGCTGCATCTGCATCCGAGGCCATTTGTTCGCGATGCAACATTACAACAATCCCATCAGGCACGTTTTCCAGAGACATTGTTGCAACATAACAGCGCGATCCCAGAGAGGCTTAGGGGAGGCAGCAGTAAAGTAGCCAAGTCGAGGCTAGTCAGATTATAGCGCCAGACGCCCTCGAGTGCGAGCGTGAGATGAGACGGAGGGGACTGCTGACAGCGGTGGCTGGTGTAGTTAGTTACCCGAGTGTCAGCAGGCAACCATATTTCTGAGGGGGGAGGAGAGATTGGATCCGCGTGGCTCAACGACTTTCTGCGGAGTTTATTTCGAGCCGTCGTCGCAGCCACCTTCTCTCGACGCAGCGACGGTCCTATGGAACGATCCTTCGCTCAGGTTGTTGGCCGGGTCTGGCGGCATCCGGAGAGCCGTTGACGGGCGCAGCCACGGAGGTTTGGGTATGTTGGCAGAGGAAGATGAGACGAAATCGGACCCAGGTGGTGATGGGCAGGGCGGTGTGGGTTAGGTGCGGTGCGCTGGAAATGATGATGCGATTGTCTGACAAAGGCTACCGTTGCCGTCGCGCCGGAAACGGATCGGTGATCTCACTCGATGGGCTGCAGAGACACGAGGTACGGAATTGCATTGGTGCTATTCGTCTGGGTCTAACATAGACGATCTGCTTCCCATCCCTCATCGCCCTCCTTATCTGGACGACATTGCACAGAGTTCTCCTGTAGATAACAAAACAGCAGACTCCAAAGATGGACGGTTGTTGAAGACGTCGGGAGGCTGTATCGATATTTCGAGGTGCAGCAGATGCAGATGCAGATGCAGATGCAGATGCAGGTGTTGGATTGAAGCTCAGGCACAGAGAGGCTTGCGGGCCTCTAAAATTAGCGACTCCTCGATGAATTCCAGGTCTAGCGCAGATCCTGCCACACGCCAACACCCGCTGCTCTTTCCTCATTGTGCCGCATCTTTCTGCCTGTGGCACCCTGCCCTGGACAAATGCTTTGCAGCAGGTACCATGCAACACCAAGGAAAGCAGCGCAGGTGAGGCACAGCCTCTGGTGCTCAGCAGACAGACGGGCTGTCCTGTGCCTCTGTCGGTCTCCTGCCCCCTCTGATTGGCTTCTTTCCCCCCAAGCCCAGTGTCCCTGCCGTCATTTCTCGGGGAAAGCGCAGGGGAGATGCCTTCCTCCTGCCTGCCTGCACTTGCTCCGCCTTCAGCCCTAGGAAAGAAAGAGCAGCAGAGCGAGGGTGTGGGTGGTTGTTTCCTTTCTTGAACCAATTGCTGTGGAACGGAATGCGAGGTAAACATGGAAAGAGCCAGGCACCAAAGAAACAAGCTTCCTTCCTCGTATCATCATTGGACCCGTGGAATGTGAAGATGCAAGAACCTGCACACCTCCCCAGTCCCTCAATCTCGGCCTGCTGCTTCTTCTTCTTTCCCCTTGTGCCCTTGTTCTCAGCCTCAGCCTCCATCTCATCGACACCCCAAAGCCGGTCCAGTCGGCGCCACTGCGGCCATCAGCCATTCCATTCTGTCTTTAGTTTGCCCATCATCGACTGCCGTCCCTGGTTTTAAAAACGCCCGAGGCGCCTCTTTCACCGTCTGTCTCGCTGCTTGACTGTTTTCCCTTTTTCTGCTTTACCAAACCCTGCGTCACCTTCGATCGATACCCCTGCGAACCAGCTCAGCGGGGCAGCAATCGCGAATCCATCAGACGAAGCTGTCGACAAACATCAAGGAATCCTCTCTGCAATTACCATTGGCATTGACTTTGATCCTTGCCGTCAAGTTTGGCCATCTCGAAATCGCATGGCACACTCGTTTTGTCAGTTCCAGTCCCAACACTGCGCATACCGCCGACCACTTACGGCATCCCTGTCGGCTATATCAAATCCCACTCTCGATTCGAATTGCGCACTTACAGCAACACCATGGCGCCGTCGAGGAGCAAGGCATTGAGCCTGCTGAGCATCCTACTCCTGTCGACACCCATATTCGCCAAAGTCCAAAACGACTTCAGCTACTACCCCAGCGCAGCACAGCCCTGCCTGTACTCCGCTTCTGATAGCAGCCAGTGCGATGGCGACACCGTCGCGGATATGAACAAGTGCCTTTGCAGCGACTCCAAGGGCAAATTCATCACCAATACCGCAAAGTGCTTGGGCAAGGACGCGAAGGGGTCCGTCTCGGAGACATACTCGGACCTCAAGACTTCATGCGCGAATTCCAACACACCCATTTCAATTACTGAGGACCAATTCAACAATCTCGCCGCCCAAGGGGCCACGGCCTCGTCCATTGCAGTTACACCGTCATCGACGTCAGCGCCGAAAACGTCGAAAACGGCCAGCCCCACAACTTTCATGACCACAACGACCGGCGGCGCGACCGTCACCGTTACCACGACGCCTACCCCCACTGATGCGACATCCACTCCCACTGCTGCGGCCTCGGGCCTGTCGACAACCGCCAAGATTGGCATCGGTGTGGGCGGTGGTGTTGGCGCAGTTGCTATCGTCGGCATCCTCGCATTCGTCTGGCGCCTCAAGAAGAGCCGCTCTTCACATGAGGAGTCTCGGCCGATGCTCGATGGCGGAGTCGGTGCGACCGGATACAACCCGCACAACAGCCCGTCTGCCAGCGCCGCCGCGTTTGGTCTTGAAAACCCGAACGATTACAAGACTGAGACCAAGACGGGAGGGTGGAGGCCAACGACGGATATCCCCCCGAGCGCGAGTCCCGGCGCGCAGACATGGGCAACCAACTCTCCTCAGCCCCCGTACGCACCTTACTCTCCTCCGTCACCGCAGCAGCAACAGCAAATGCATGCTTGGGGACACCACCCGCAAGCTGCGTACCCGCCTGGGCCAGAAACTGCTCCCCAGCCTGGCGTTTTTGAGCTCGCATCTATACCCGTGCAGCCATCACACCCTCAACCTCCACCCGATGCCGTCGAAATGCCGGCAACGGAGGTGCAACCGAGGCCTGCGAGATACCAATATCCATCACAGCGATGATTTGTATATACAAGAAGAAGGTGGCGGGAGATAATATAGCATGGATGTAGACTATTTGTGATACCTGGAGCTGCATATCATGGACGGACATTCAGGCGTTTTGGACCTGGACTGGAAAAGTCGGGTTATTGAATACAAACATTTGATCTATCACAAGGACAGTCCCTGAGATTCATAAAGTACTGCATTGTTATCTACCTTAGTTGCGAAAAGCGATCTACTTCTTTCCCGAGTTCGAGTTGGAACCACCGCCCGAGGAACCGGATGAGTTTCCAGACTTGTTGCCCGAGCCAGAGTTGGGACCGCCGGATTGGTTCTTTGCTGCCGCAGCTGCGGCTCGTTTGGCAAAAGCGCTCTATAGAAATCACATCGTCAGCTATGCGTTTGGAAATAAGAGTGAGAACCAGGGAACTTACATCCTTGCCCTTGGCGATGCGGGCCGCTGCCTTGGCGTCCATCTTATCGGAACCCATGGTTGTACTTTTGTAAGATTTGGTTAGTTGGATTCTTGCTTTTGAGTTACCTTGATAGCTCGAAGTAGATAGTGGATGTTTAGTAAGTAGCTGTTGTCTTGGGAGGCTTGAGGAGGGCGACTTTGGTTCTTTATGTAGGGGTTGAGTTGAGCTGTTCGATTGAGTAAATCAGCTTTTACTGGGTGAGATCAGTACTTTGTGTGGGAACAGTGAAGTACTGAAAGAAGTTTGGTTCCAATTCACAGGTCCAGTCCGGCAGTGAGGGGGGACATTGAAGGTGTACAGTGCTGACAGTGAGGGAGTATGGGTTGCTGATCATGATGCCCTCTCGACTGAATCACGCGAGGAACAGGTAGTGCTGACGTTGCCATCGTGCCCCCCGGTGTCGCGTTCCGGTAGTCTTAGGGCTCTGTTTACACCTCAATGCTGGATGCGCAATCCGCGGACTACATATATTAAAGCGCAGTACTAATAAGACGGCCTTGTGAAAACACCAATTTCCCAGCTTTGGGCAGTAGAATAGAACTTCATTTTACCTCATCCAAATGTTCCAATCGACTAACACAAGCAAGCCACAGAAGGCCCATTTCTTGGAGGATGATTCACTACCACTGACTGATTAACTAAGTAACTTCCAATTTACTGCCGTGAACCCGAGAAACCCATCCCAAAAGCCACGCATTCACCACCCAGTACTTCTCGTGAATATCTTACTCACGGCACGTAGAACTTCTTCCAGGTGTTAGGATACGACCAACCACTCTTTGACCCCGAATACGATGAATCGCCTGCGCTGGTGTTGCTGCCAGACTTGTTGCCGGAGCTGATGGACGAGCTGCCGCCGGAGGAAGTGTTGCGTTTAGCTGCTTCGGCGGCGCGTTTGGAGAAGCCTGGCTGTGTAGAGTCAGTCATATTCAATTTGGAATACAACCTGAGAGGAGCTTGAGTGGACTTACATCTTAGCCCTTGGCAATGCGGGCGGCTGCTGCTTGGTCCATGCCACCCATCTTGTCGGCGTATCCTGTCCAATCTTGCTATCTAGGTCTTTATTGAGGTAAATCTTTGGTGAACCTGTAGTACTCGTATTTCTGGATGAGTCTATCATTCTCCTTCACAGCAGCGCCAGTATAGACCAAGAAGGATAGCCTCATCATGCTCTCATAACCTCCACATGCAACGTAGATACATAGTCGATGTCGTGAACAGGGGTTAGTGCATCACGGATCACCCGAATAATACTCTGGAGCGTAGTGATTCTGATCTGTGAAGTGAGTAATTCTGCAAGCTCTGTTGTAGTAGGCGGGAGGGTCATCCCATGGCTGTGCACTTGTGCTTATTCCACTTAGCCTCGGAGAAATGCTTGATTTAATAACATTTATCTGCCTTGATTATCATATATCAACTATCACTGATTCCTTAACGCTAGTTAATACACCTTGGACTGCGTGTCCATCCGAGAAAGTCATATTCGTCTCCAATTCCCCGTCCCCTAGATAGGCGGTTTGATCTTTCTGTATTCAGACCAGATGAGGGTAGGGTTCTCCATATTCATCCATCGCCAATTTTCCTGTTCCCTGTTGACAGGGTCAGGACCCCAACTCCCGGGCATACTAGTAGCCTGGTCATCAATCATGTTCCAGAAGTCTCCAGCGTATTCGTAGTTCTCGCAAGTAATCCACAACTTCCAATGCTCCGGCAGACGACCATACGTAAAGCCTGCTACGAAGTGCCGACACGCGCCTTTGTTGACAAGACCGTAGTCGTGGTGTCTCCTAGGGGAATCCCCGCTGGAAAGAAATCCCCGAAACCTACCCGCCTCGTCAGTCCCATGAAAGCGCCTCTCCGAACGTCCATACGCCAGAAGATCGATCCCTGCGGTCGCCAGGACATTGACCCAAAATTGTAAAATCCTTTCAAGATGAGAAGAAAAGTCTCTCTTGGAGCCTGCGGATGAAAACCGTTGCTTCAGGCACGCCTGAGAAATCATAGCTGATAATGGAGTATACAGGCGTCGAGGGTTTTCCAAACCGGGAAAATGGAAGGGTATGCCAGGATCCGCATGCTGCAAACCAAACGGATCAATCCGGATGCACTCGGTCAATATCTGAGCCCAATCTTGATCTTCTGTACCGGACTCGTCACTCAGCAATGGGTGGATGGCGCCAACTGCCATGGAATGAAGAAGTGAGTAGTGACCAGGCAGTCTGGAATCCACAAGCCACGCTTCTTCGCGTAACGAAGCCTTGGATACCAGATTGGAGAGCTGATCCAGTGTCCACCAATTGCTTCCACTATGGTAGACGATTGCTCTCAAAAATCTCACTCTTTCCTCGACGGACAACTCGGGGCCTTGAGGGCGTCGGTTCAGCAGGACGTAAAAGCCCTCCAAGTTGATTCCGCGGTCCAAAACCCAAACGAGTCCATCGGCTTCGAGAAAGTCATCCAATCCATTTTCGCCCAGGATCTGAATCAAAGGATAGTTACCATCTCCATATTCATAGTCGGAGTACCACAGTCCAATTGCTTGACCAAGTAGCCATCCCCTTAAGGCGGTCAGCGCATCAACTTCTTGCAGCGCGTGTGACGCAATTACATACCTATCGGTGTCGCCGATTTCAATGCTTAATCCATTATCTAACAACGTCCTGGTGATATTGAGAGATCTCCGAGAAACCGCTGTCTATTTCCCTTGGATTAGAGCACACCATGCAGCCGAATGCAACAGTTCGCTAGCGTAGACTTACATCCAGAAGGCCAAAACCCATTCTATCCTGAACGCATAAGCCCATTCCCCGGTCATGTAGGTACTTCAGAAGTCCGTTGTTGTCGTCCTTATGGATGAGATTATGAAATTCGGCATCAAAGCTGTCGACGATCTCGTGCGTCCTTAAACTGATTTGCCATCCCATACTCGCCTTTTGAGCGAATACTGAGTATACAGACAAGCCAAGCCAGCTTGGTGCTGCAAACAAAGCATGGAAGCCACCGTTTTGCTCAAATCCGAAGCAGAACTTGCCGAATATGTTAAGTTCTGTAGGATCAGAACGGGTATCCCTGATCATTTGACTCTCTCTTGACCTGATATCATCGTCTTGGACCCCACGCTTTTTTTGCATAGGCGTTTTGATCATACTTGCGGTTGCGCTGTTTCTCGGATAGGTCACTGCTTTTGTGTCCCTCTTAACTATGGCGTTGTATGTTGCAATCGCACTGTGGTAACTGTCAGATATAGTGAGGGGCGCAAATGGACCGCATTCGCATTTAACGTACATTCGTCGCCGTTCTTCGGCCTGTGCCATTTGGAACATCTGGAGAGCTCGGTCAAGTTTGAGCGATAGGGCCTCCAGATCGTCTTTCCTCAGAGCGGCTTTTGCAGAAGCTATCCTGTGCTTCAACCCGCGTTCGCTGATGACTCTGGTGTAGATCCTGTCTACCATGCCCTGCAGTTCTTCTAAAGCAAAGCGACACCTGCCGATAAGTTTCTCGAGTAGGATACGGTCTGATGCGAGGGCCGGAAGTGGGCTGATAGCCAGATTGTCCTCAACGTTCGCGAGGAAATCTTCGAAGATCTGGATGTCTTCCGCCTTTTCCCGGAGCAAGTTTGGGACATTCTTGACCTCGCTCCATAACTTTTGGATTCTGACGTAGGCGCTTCCAGTCTTGGCGGCAACGTCCACCACGGCAATGACGCTCGCCGCTAGGCCCAGGACTTCTGCCATCGACGCTGCTTCTCTTTCGATGTAGATCTACGAACGTACTAATGAGTCGCGGTGATCAAAAGCTGCGTGCGAGCCCTAAAATCAGAACATAAGAGAGCCGAGCAGGTGTCACGAAGTGCAAAGTAACACCGGGGAGAGGGAGCCTGATGAAATCAGGCTTCAATCAGGCTGTGCCGTCAGCATTGCCACATTGGCAAGCCACATGAGTGTGGGCAAATGCAGTCTCAAGCAAACGCAAATGCAGCTTGTGATTGGGTCTTTCCAACAGCCAACTAAATGGTCAGCTCGGCGATTTGAGTTTAGGGTTGGACGGAAGTATCTGCATTCAGATATATAATCGTAAATCACCAATTCTTCACATACTGCCTATCGCACCGACGCGCTGTTCAATTCCAATCGAACTCATTGTTCTTGCGATGCCACAGGCAGGTATATTATGTGGAAGTTGACAGTGAAAGGACTTGGCCAGAGATTCCCCTAAGCAGGCGCCTTGTTTCCTCGATACTCAGACCATGTTAGCGGCGACTCAGCCTCTTTTTCCCATGTTAGGTCCAGCTCCTAAGTACTTACTCATGGGATCAGCGACCCGAGCTCCCGTCATCCCCGTGAGCTTGTTTTCAACCACGCTTCAGAACTCCCCAGCCAATCCATTCTTGTCGTCGGCAAACCAAATTTTCCTATGCTGTGGCAAAGCTCCGTAGGTAATGCCGATATGACTATTGTCTTCGGACAAACCTCGGTCTCCTTTCTCGGTTATGTCTCAAAATAACATATCGTGGTCTGATGTAGATATCGCCTCTTTCAAAAAGGTTCCTCTCGCTTCGGCCGTAATCGAGAAGGTGTACATCGGCATCGGCGGCTGCCTGTATCCAGTACTGCATGGCGGACTGTAACAACTCCAATGTGGTTTTCCCATTACATCTCAGGATAAGGTGGTTGTCTAAGACACGGCTTATGACAGCGAAAAAGTTTGTTGAAGCCCACCATTTCCATGCGTACCACCACTCTCGCTCATGGTGGTGTACAGCTGAAGGGTCTAGTTGTATCCAAGCGCTCAGTAGATCACTCCAGTCCTCCATTCTATGATAGCAGCTGATTCAAACTGACCCTATGGCCAAGTAACACAGAAGATTACGATGTGCATCACGTCTGATATATTGAAGCAAATCAAAGTCTGGATTCCTTGCTTCTGGCAACATGAAAAAGACTTGCTCCAAGGTCCATTTCCTCGCGTACCAGTTGACCGAATATCGGAGGTGTTCGAGTCTTTGAAAGAGTGAGTACTCTTGACCCAACCTGGACCTCTTCAACATTAATCGGAAATCCTCAATAGAGGTTCCCGACGACAGTGCCCAATTGAGCCCATCATGCTCAATTAGGAGATGGTCTAGACCAACATCCCCCACTATATCTATCAGTCTGGGAACGTCACTTTCATGACTGAAATCAAACCACTGCCTGGCTACCAGGCTCATTGTCCGGAGATGACTGCGAAAGGTCAGAGACGTTTCGTTGGTCTAATACATCATATGAGGCAGTGCTTTGAAGTAGGTCGTACATAATGATGAGGGTTCAAGTCAAGCCCATGATCAATCAAGGATTTCACAACGTTCAATGATTTGTATCTCAGCGCAGTCTGTGTGGGTATGTAAGTTATTGGATTGTTTTGAAGAACAAAAGGCGTTGGTATGGACTTACTTGAAGAAGATCTTCTGCAGCAGCTATCACAAACGACGACATCTTGTGCTCATCCAAGTGTTGGTAAACATTTGTAGGGCTATCAGATTGAATGGCTAGTCTCAGATCCGGGCTGAAACTGTGCACAAGTTTATGGGTTCTCAGGTTCACCTGCCAGCCAACGGTTGAACACTGACTGACTGAGCCAGCTTGGTGGCTGAAATGATATGCCAAAGCCTTGGGTCGCTCTCGATTCCCAGCGAAAGCCTCCAACCATACTGGGCGGATAATGCAGTGGCACCATGTTTGGAAATATCATCCAACTGGACTGTTTGCTCTTGGGAGAAGTCGCGTTCAAAACGTGACGTCGACTTCGTCAGATTCCTCGGACGGGCTAATCAAGTCAGGAAGAGCTGAATGCGCTTTGGAAATGATGCAATATGTTTGAATGGCCCTAGTCATGTGTCAACCTTTGCTGACATCTCACTTCTGACATACGTGAAGTGGTAAATCTATGGGAGACTTACATCCAGTGCCGCTATTCATCTTGTGCCCTCTGGAATAGATTCAATACGCAGTTAAATTTAGAAGTTAAAGTCACCCAATCATCCTTGTTCAGTATAGCCTTTGTCGATGCTATTCTACGCTTAAATCCTGGTTGTCTTGTTACCCGGCTATGAACTTGATGATTTGATCGACAGACTCCTTTAGCTCGTTCAAGGTTTGGCGGCATGTTGTAATGAGGCGTTCTAGTAGGCCGCGATTGGGTTCATGCTCAGGGACTTGGGCTTACAAAAGGCTCGTCTCTGCCTCGAGAAGAAACTCTTCAAATAATTGATTTTCTTTTATCTTTTCTCCTTAGGCAGCAGGCACCTGTTTGAATTAGTCCCACAGCCTCTTAATCCTCGCGCAAGCGCTGCCAGCTTTGACGGCCACGTCAGCTACAGCGATGACGCTGGAAGCCAGGCATAGAGCCTCAGCCATCGCATAGGAGTAATTCCTGGACTTGCTTGACTTGGTATGTCTTGGTGAGGGTCTGGTCTGTATTCGAAGACCCGATTTTGAGAGGCCAAGAAAGATGGTGAAGGTTGATTGCAGCCTCTCATACGAGTAGGCATCATCCTAAGGCTGTGCCGTATGCTTACTTCGGCATCTTACACCCTCCCTCTACGACACAATGAGATTATGGATTATTTTATCCCAGGCCATGATTGGGTCGCCAGTGCGCCACTCGAGCGTGATTTCGCCAACTGTACAAGGGGTCCAACAGGCAATTGCGAATCTGGTCATCGGTATGGTGACTACGCTAAAAACGCTCCACGTTTTCCTAAAATGTACGCCGGGATTTGCTGGGCTTGTGGAAAGCCTGGTTCGAAATAATTCGCTTTTTGCTGCGTTCAACTGTTACTAATGGTATGTGTACGTGCTCCCATTCACACTTGGGAATAATTCAACAATATATCCGTCTTCCCACTCTACCCGGTGAACGCAAGCCTGTCTTGCCGTGCCGTATCCTACTCTCTGCAACAGACTCCTACCAATCCAACTTTGAACAGAGTCCTGGTGTCTGGTGCTGTAAAATGTACCGTGTCGTCTTCACGGTGGAGTGTGAGCTCTCCATAAACACCACGGTGTATCTATCTCGTATGTCTAGCGTAAGAAGATAGCGCTCAAACCTAAACTCTTGGGTTGCCTGCAACCAGCCACGCTTCGTTCAACAATATAGGTATGTACGAAGTCTCAGGCTTCATAGAGAGTGGCACGTTCTCAGCAGCGTCAATGATTGGAATAGCCAGCCATCCAGAAGTAATTGGCGGACAGCTTGGAGTTATGGTACATATATAAACCAAATTGGCAGGCGGAGGAATGTTTGCGTAACATCCTCGCGCATTACCTTGGTGGGGTTCGTGGAATTCTTGTCGAGTCCACTTGGACAGCTTGAATGATGCATCCATCGTTCTTTCCCGAATTCGATGCCAGTATGACTCAGCAGGCATCTTAATGGATGGGTCAGGCCTCTCGTGGGTGTACCAGCCGGTGATGGAGATTGCCCTGGGCGTATCCTTCTTGAGCTCGAAAGTCTCTTCTAAAAGTTTCAGTCCATCAGAGATCCAGCCTACCCATGACCACGAAGGCAAACACATCCATGAAGACGCTGATCTTAATTTTCTAGCGGGCTCTCGTCGGGGTAGCTCCCTTTAACTATATGTCCTTGTGGCCTGGCACATTGGCGCAAAATCAAAAACATGCAACAGGCAAGCCGAAGACAAATGTCACAAAGTGAGGAAGAACCTTAACCGGATACGGTATCTTATTCCGCCAAGGCCATCTAATGAGGTGGAGACTGATCGCTTGCTCCAAAGGTGGATAACTCATTAACCAATCAACACAGTCCAGTCGACTTGGACTTTTGTTAGTGTCGTTATCCCTGTTCTTTTCATATGGTATTTACACAACTCGAACCGCCTTCCCGGGAAGAAGCCATTTGACCTTCTCTGAAACCCCCTCTTTCTCAAATTCAGAGCGCAAATCCTCTCCGTGCTGCGTGAAATGATCCCAAGAATCGAAATGCATCGGAATGATCCAGTCGGATTTGATGTCTCGGAATAGCTGGCTAGCCTGTTTCCCACCCATGGTGATCTGGCGCTTGGGGGCGAGCGGGGCCTCTATCTGGACACGAGCTTCTCCAACATTCATAAGAGCGGCGGCAATGTGAAAACGCGTGGCGAGTTGGGCCAGCTCAGGTACGTAGACCGTATCTCCAGAGAAGTAGATCGCGTTTGGGCGGCCGTCTGAGGAAATTCCGAAAGACTCCGCACGGATAACAAACCCAACGCACTCATCTCCGGGGACATGATCGCACGGGGTGGCTGTGATGTCGAAGATCTTGCCCCCTATTTTGGCACTGACGGTTTGCCAAGGGGTCATTCCCACGACACCAGGTCGAGGGGCAAGGTTCCTGGAACCGTCTTGAGTCGTAAAAACACGGCGGCCATCGAGAAGTTGGCGGCCAAGCTCATCAAGGTTATCCCAGTGGTCCTCGTGGCTGAGAAGAACAGCGTCAATGGGGGGGAGATCCCGAAGGTTGAGTGCGGGATTCTCGTGTACTTTGAGTGTAACGTTCGGTGACTGAACGAATGATTCGGCAGGAGAGAAAAAGGGATCAGTGAGGAATTTGATGCCATCGATGTCGATGATGGCGGTGGCGGTACCAATGAAGGTGACGGACACCTTCCCTTCAAATCCCGAGCTGGTAGACATGGCGAGGGAGGTGGAATGCAAACTGTAACGTTCACAGAATGTGCAACGAGAAATAGCCTACTTGTTCAAGCTTTCCCATGGTCACCGTATCTCTTAAATAGAGCTGTAGAAAGGTTACTTGAGAAACGATCGATACCTAGGATTCGTAGCAGATTATCAAGCAGCCTAGATTATAAAGCAGTCTGAATTTCAAAGCATCTTACTGATGGAAACAGTCCTTGGTAATGACGCTGGGCATAGATATGACAAATGTCTTTCTACTAGGTACGTTAAGACAACCCCACAGCCTCCTTTCAGATGAAAAGCTCCACATCTCAGCTTCTCAGAAGTCATATAAAAGATCTCATCTTGCTACGTTATGTTCTAAATTCTTGTTGTATTTTCTTTCTGTGAGAAGCGAATCACTCACAGCAAGAGATGAGATTTCATGTTTTCGACACACTCAGACCCAGACATGCAAAACATCGAACCAGAGCTACACCGAGGTCCTGCGTCAGCCATGGTCGCCCCAAGTGTCTCTTTACCCGAAGACAATGAGGACCCCAATTTAGTCAACTGTCCTCCACCAGACGGGGGGCTAGCTGCATATTTGTCAGGAACTTGAGCTTCGTCATCTTTATTCTAGTTGTATCTGACGCTAAGGAATTGAATAGTCCTCTCTGGTTTTCTTGTGATCATGAACACTTGGTACGTTTTATCGCTGCCGCCACCAATATTTGATGCTTTCTTGCGATTGTGATAGCTGAACCATCGAAAGGGGACTGATTGTATCGTTTGGCGTCTTCCAAACGTATTACGTCTCATCCTTGGGTCAGTCCCGTTCGGATGTTGCATGGATTGGATCAATCACTGTGTTCCTCCTCTTCTTTGGTGGAATCTTGAGTGGCCGCCTCACGGATGCTGGCCACTTTCGAATCACCGCAACGTCGGGCGCAATTCTCCTTGTCCTAGGGACATTCATGACCTCTCTTTGCACGGAATATTGGCAACTGATTTTGGCCCAAGGCGTCTGCGTTGGATTAGGCAACGGCCTCCTCTCTACTCCCCACCTGACGGTCGTCTCAACATATTTCAACAAGAGACTACCGCTTGCCTTGGGTATTGCGGCTTGCGGAAGCGTGACAGGCGGGCTGATCTATCCGAGTATGGCCAGAGTTCTACTCCCGTCCATTGGCTTTGGATGGACAATGAGAAGCATTGGTTTTATTCAACTCGCTACCCTTGCGATCGCACTCGCAGTGGTAAGGCCGAGAATTAGGCCTGTAGTGGGGACTCGGTCGTTGGTCGACTGGGGTGCATTTAAAGACCTTGAGTTCACGCTTTATTTCATCGGAGTCTTTCTTGTAAGTTGAAGTCCTATGACTAAGCAGATCAGAAAAGCAAGAGTAACACTCATTCAAGGCATATCTGGGCGTCTTCTTTCCATTTTTCTTTTTGACGTCCTATGCACGTGAGAAGCAAAGCATGTCATACGTCGATTCTTTGAATCTCCTCCTTGTTCTCAACGGGATTGGCTTTGTTGCCCGCTTGTTTCCCAGCCTTCTCTCGGCTTATTTCGGAACGCTTAATACCTTCATCGGCTTGTTGTTCGCTTCCTCGCTGTGTATGTACACGTGGATTGCTGTACAGTCACTCTCTGGTCTATATGTCTGGACAGCCTTCTACAGTATGTCTATCGGGGGTGTTCAGTCATTATTCCCAGCTGCAGTCGCATCTTTGAGCCCAGACCGATCGAAGTTGGGATCACGAATGGGGATTATCTCTTCTGCAGTTGGAATTGGAGCTTTGATAGGATCCCCCATCTCTGGTCAGCTCATTTCAATAAGTGGGGGATCATATGAAGCAGCACAGGTCTTTGCAGGTAGCGCATTAGCAGCTGGATGCGGTTTGACATTCCAAGCCCGGGAAATCAGAAGGAAGAAACAGTGTGGTCAGCTATTTTCAAAATTGTAGAATTAGCAGAATTTGCCAGAAGAGAACCAGACCGCAACACGATGTCGAACGTGTCAAAGCTAGTATCACATTTGCAAGAGATCTCTCGGTGATATCCCCTCAAGACCCGCTATGCCATCCGCCGCGTCGCCGCCGGATGCAACGAAAGCCAGCTTTGCCGATGCGTAGATGGCGCCTATCACCCGAAGATGTTCATGTGGGTTTTTTTTTGTTATCTTGAATAATGCACATCATATTCACCATAAATAGTGTTCTTTTAAAGCGCTTGTATGTCTCCCGTTGGAGGTAAGTCCATAGCGAGATTTTCCATTGAGAGTGCGCCAGGTTTTCTCAGGTCCTTCGGAGAACCTCGGGTGTTCCAGAATGTCGTACGGTGTGCCTGCCAAGGTAGAAGTTCGCATGCAGGAGTCGCAACAGTACATAGTCAGCTTTCTCAGGATATGAAAGGTCCCACAACACTAACCATTACGACTCCACAAGCCCACGATCACGCCCCTCCCAGGTTAACAAGCCCTGTCCAAGCGGCAACCCACAACCACCAGCGATCCGAGAACACTCAACGATCGCATCTGGAAGGGTGGCCGAGTTGGTTATGGCGCCAGGTTAAGGTCAGCTTAACATCTGTTTCCTGGGGGGGCAACCCGCGCGAGTTCGAGTCTCGTCCCTTTCAAATCATCTTTTTTGCTGGGGTTAATGGTCGTCATTTGTTGCGCTAGGCGTGGTATTCGCGACCGAGACATAGCTGTATGTTTATGCTGGGCATCCCAGTTTATGTAGACTTCAGCCGTTCCCGATGTCAGAGCTAATTTGCTTCCTCCTCGTTCTCGACTTGCCTCAACCCCGCCTACCTCAACCGTGTACTCGGTGGCCTCCTTGGTAGAGCTGGCGCCGGCAGTAATCCACAAGATTGCTGCTTCAGCTTCAGGACCGTCTTCGAGTTGGCCTATCTTCAAGGAGATTGTATGACTTTTCACATGATAGCTAAACTGCTCAACAACGCCTGCATCAATCTCAATATCAACTGCTAGAGGTCCAATGAAGACTTTCCGACGCAGAGGGTCTCGAACTTGCACGGTTACAAGATCGTCGTCGACTTTCAAGATCCCACCGTAAGCAATCATTCCATAGTCCAGGTCATCGACGAGATACGCGCCCGAACCAACGACCATGCCGACGAAATTGGGACCGTAGTCGCCGCTGAACCCGTCCCAGGAAAGATGCTCCGGCCACGCATGCATCGCACAAGATGCAAAGCCGTCTTCGCGGATGTTGGAAAGCGCTCCAGTTGTACCGCCGTATCCCACGCGGAGGAGATAGGAGTTGGTCGGGTCGTCCTGGAAAGCTGAAAGCAGCACTAGAGCGTTCAGCCCGGACCCGTAGTGATGAATCTGACGCTCGACGACCTGAGTTTTGCCCGCAACACTGCAGGAGTATTGTTAGCAAGACACTTTTACTTCCAAGATCTGTAAAGACTCACACAAAGTCCCAGTATCGGCGGGCGTTCCCGTTGTATCCCCAATGTGGAACTGTGGTCATATAGCCCAACACACTGTTCTTGACGCGCGTGGCCAAGTCTGTTTCACCAAAATATCTGAGGACTTCAGTCAACCAGGAGTTCAGCAAAGAGGCACGGTTCCTAGTACGACATACTTCGCCCAGAAGTACACCCCCTCTTGGCCGGTGGAGTCCCAAGCCTGTTCGCTCCCATAAGGATACGCCTCCGTCAACCAAACATCGAGTCTAGCCCTCATCACATCGGTCAAGTTCTGTGCTTCCACGGACGTATTCTCCCTTTGCAAGTCTACCAATATCTTTCCAAAGACAGTCTCGCCCATGAGTCCCTTGTCTTTGAAGCCGATGTCGGGTTCCATTCCTCTCATCACAGTCTTGTAGGCTTGGTTCAGATACCACTCCCAGTCATGCGTCCTCAGCAAACCCGGGTAGGCTCTTCCTGCACGATACAAGGCCCAGTAAGTCGCAGCCGGCCATACGTAGTTGTATGCACGGTTGATCTCGTACACATAATCTTTCTTCTGGCCGGACGTGATGGTGTAATTGTAGTCCAGCTCAGGGCCATAGTAGAACAACCCTCTCTTGACTGCGTAGTTCTCATCTTGTATGGTTTTGAACAGAACCTTGTCAACGAAATCCTCCAGCTTTGCGATCTCGGCGGTATTGGGCTGAAAGGTCTGCTTGACAGCGGCAGCTACATACGCACCGGCCCCACCCTCGTCACTAAGGCCTGCTGGTGCTGTTCGTTTATCTTGCTCGATGATAGCGCCCTTCTCCCCATCATAGCCCATGATTGACGGGGATCGACCGAATGGATCCGAGTCATCGATAAACCAGTGCTCAGTCGTAAGGAAGGTTCCGAGATCAGAGACAGCCTCGGCTGCGGACTTTGTGATGTAATAGTGGACGGTCTGGGTAGTATTGTTGTCATAGTCGACGTTGAGGCGCACGCGACCCCAAGCTGATGCAGATGGCTGAATGGAATATGTGTTGTTGCCTCGGTCGATGACTTGGAGAGAGTCTGGGGGAGACGTAGAGATAAAATTGATCCCAACCCTGGTTTGCAAGTGCAAAGTTGCTTGGCTGTCCCGTGGGATGATGTACCCAGGCAAGCTGATGGCGTTAGGAGTTTCCGCACTCGCGATCGCGGCATCAATCTTTTTCACGCCTTCGTTGACCGCTGTAAATCGGACGCCATATCTCCGTAATTCTCCTGGCTTGAGTACGGTGTTTGTCGGGGTATTCCAAGGCTCTACATCCTTCCACTCGTTCTCAGCCCAAGCCTTGCTGTGAACAGTCCACTCGAAGAACCCCTCCCACATGTTTGACCCGATCCGCGTCTCTCCCTTGTTATCTTCCCACAACCAGCGATATGCCTCCAACGGTGTCTTGTACAACGGTGTGATGACGAGAGCGGGGCCGACTCCATTCAGGGGTAAAACTCGGAGGTGGCCGGCGTCCTGTCCTATGTACGGCTCCATGAAGGAACACCTTTCGTTGACGTCCGACACGTTTCTCTTGGTGAAGATGTTGTTGACAGCCGCTGCAAAGCCCAGCGCCCCTATCTCTACATCTTCATCGCCTGAGTTGGTGATTGTGAATCGCAGTCCCAGGTCGCCATAGACATCAATCCGTTTACGAATCACCTTCAACGACCCAAGGTCCATGGTCGGTGATAAATCAGCTGAGACCAGAGCTCCAGTTTCAGCTTCGATGACTGGCTGCCTCGCGGTGGCGGAGCTGGTTTCATTCCATGTGTCTGATGAAGTTCCTCGGTATCGGATATTGATGTCGCCCCAATGGTAGCAGCCATTTTGGACACGACGACCAAGCTGCATCAGATCATATGGGAGAAAGTCGAAGTCGCTTCCCGTTGGCTTGAGGGATGCAAGTGTGGCAGAGTCTTTGACAATTACTGCCTCCCAGTTTCTGGTCTTGAATGCATACGTGCCATTGCCGAGCCCAATGTCGTCTTGGCCAAAGGCAAGAGGCAGCACGATGAGGCTTAATGAAGACAGAATTCGAAAGTGCATCATTACAGCAGGTTGTTGTGCAGGGAAGATTGTTATGCAGGGAATCAAGATCTCTGGGCGGAACACCTCAATGTGAGGGATGATGTTGAGGAGTTCACGGAGGAGAACGGGTCCCTCTTATGACACCCTGCCAAAAGTCCAGAAGTAAAGACCCTTTCTAGCAAAAGAATGTCTGTATCTTGTGGCCTTGCGTAAAATCTCGTCACGAAGATGCAGCGAGGTATACTTAAATTCATGTTTGAGGCAATTGTGATTTCGGCATTTGCTCGATATCTCTCTCTACATGTATGGATGCGGGGCTGCGTTTCCCTCTCGCATGCTCATACTGTGATGGGGCAAGGGAGGAGGCAGGGGATTGGTGGACTACTAGAACTGCTGCAGAAATAGGTAATCCAAAGTCTTGCCAGTTCCATTTCGAGAAGAGGTCGACCCGACCGATCAGTCTCTGGTGACGACATATTTTATGAGCGTTAGGCGCACCAATCACAATCACTGACACTTCAATCTTCGGTGAATCTTGAAATGAAGCCAATGGTTTGCTCAAAGTGCTTCTGTTTCAGCGAACTCGCCCTTGGGTGTTTCAAAAGTGGTTGAGTTGAGATGTCCCAAACAGCAACTTCAAATTTGTGACACTGCATACTTGAACTGAAGTCTAGGAAGTGCAGTAGAGAACATATCAAAAAGGTAAGGTATGAAGCATACCTACCTGATGATTTGCTCACTGTAGTTGTGGGTTCTTTGCAGCTCCATTTGACAGTGAACGAGACTGTTGCCTGTGACAAAGAAGTGCTTTGGCGTCAACTTCGTTGACTCAGGTAATTCGCCTTTACCTGACTAAGTGGCCCTTTCAGAAGGAGAACAATACAATGCCCTAGGTCATGTATAACGTTGGTGCAACATGATACTTGTCTTGAATCAGAATCACTCACTCAAGACAACTGAGCATGATCCAGTCAGCGGCTGATGCATACTTAAGAAGGACCATTTACAGGCTGAATTGCATCTCTCATTTCTCATCAGACCAAACAGACACATCCAACCACAGCTCAATCTCACCAAAGCTCCAAGAACAGCAGCTAAGTCACCACCCCTTCCAGAATCATCAACATGTGCAACTACGTTCTCTACGTTACTCAGTGCCGCCAATGCGGTAACACCATCTCTCAATCACAGTCCGACTACGTGTACTGCCCTTCCTACAAAAACGGCATATCCTGCATGGTCATTGAGCGCGACCGCCGCACTACCCTGGTCTGCTGCTCTTCTTGCCAGCGCGCCTACTCCTTCGCTCCCTCTACTGACTTTTTGGGCGTCGACGAGTGCTATTCGATTGGCTCTATGGAGGACCATCACCCTTCCGATGACTAGATCACTGCAAAATCGTTGATAGAATGTGAGTTTCACGCCTTCTCGGGCTCATGACTTCTGGCCCGAAACACTGCTTCCATATCAAGATTAAATAGCATGCCCTGAATTGAGAGTCCCATTGAGTTTCTAGCAATATCATTAATCCTTTGCACATGGTGATGATCCCACCTAATTGATCTTCTCCAGACAAGCGTGACTTATATGTCTCTACTCGTTCACGCCTGCGTCTGATCCCCAAGCTCGCACAGCCTAGATAGGCAGCGTCGCATTCACAGGCAGACACGTCCCCAAATCCGGGCCTTCGATCCTCGACGTGGCGTTGACAACATACTGCTGCAGCGGCGAAGTCCCACACTTCACGCCCAAGACGAACGCCTGCGAGAATGTGTCCGCCAGTTTTGGGGCCATGTGCGTGTTGTCCATCGGGTACCCGGCAACGGCAGCCTCGGGGCCCTGGAGCTTCAGGGCTTGGACGCAGTAGTCCGCGTGCGGGACGTAGTAGATGCCGGCTGCGGGGCCTCCCAGCGATTCGACGACGTACCATGAGTACCACGAGTAGATCCTGGGCGTCCACGTGAAGTTGCCGGTCTGGTAGGGGTTCGTGGGCGTTGAGGTGGAGATGACGACCTTTGCGCCGAGGGAGAGGAAGATGGAGGATGCGTTGCGGAGGTAGGTCGTGTACGTCTGGACGATCTCGGTTGCGTTGCTGAATGGGATGTTAGACGCGATGTGTCTTTGACAGAGGGCAGGTGGCTTACTTGAAGATGGCGGTGCATGTTTCGTTGCCGATGCCGGGGCAGTCGACGCGGCTCTTCACATCGGTGGCTGGGTTGCCCGCTGGTGGAATCTTCGTCAGACACGCTCAAGCCTAGTGAGGAAACAACACTTACGCCCGTCATTGTGTCCAAACTCAATCACGACCCAGTCGCCTGCCTTCACCTCGTTGATGATCCTTTGGAAACGTCCCTCTCTCGTGAATGTTCGCGCACTTCGGCCGGCATACGCAGAGTTGTTGACTCGGATCTTGGAAGAGTCAAGCGAATAGTGCAGATATTGGCCCTGATTGATTACATTAGCATCATATAAACTGTCCAAGGTCCGAAGCTTCACTTACCCATCCCTCCGTGCCATTGTGGCCGCCATCGGGCGCCATTGTACTGTCGCCCGCAAGCCAAACGGTGTGCTTGATCTCTTCGTCGCATTGCGCCGAGACACTGAACGCGGAGCTCGCAACGAGCAGCAGTGAGCTCCAAGAGAACCTCATTTTCAATGATGACTCGGGGCCCCGACGATTATGCTGGACAAGACGATAGTGACAGACTGGGTGCACAGAAACATCGTTCAGCCAAGAAAACGAGAATCTGCTCTCTTTTTATTGCGGCCGCCCTGTTAGATCATGTCATGACAACGGATCTCGGCAATTAGGCACACCTGGAGGTGGCATCGTCTCCCCCGCAGCGGTCTGCGGAGATGGCTTCTGCCCCTGGCAGGTTCCCCGCGTAGCACCCTGGCCACGGCCGTTGTCCCAAGAGGGTTCATCTCTGAGGCGGGACCGCTAACTGTATGTACGATAGCTCTCCGACTGACGGTGAGTGAATGTTTGGGGTAATTACTTTCATTCGTGGACGGCGGTGGGTATTCGTCGGCGGAATGAGGGCCGAAAAGTTGCGTTTTAAGCTTTCGGCCGATCACCGACCGAACGAACCCGGGCGGATGGGAACCCCACGGGGGATTTGACAATGAAGGGTCCGTCTGATCCGGGGAGGAAATGATCATGTGCTGAGTGGAATTTCGATGCGGGTGGCGTACTTTCAACGGATCATCTTTCTTCGGTCTTATCTTTGGGGATTGAAGCTTGAAGCGAGATCTCTCTCCATAGCTGCGACGGTACTCCGTAAGCCGAGGACAATTAAGCAACCTTGAATTTTAAGACTTGGCCGGCTGAGAAAATGCTCCAAATCTCCCTTACAGAAAGACTGTCCTGTGCCAAGCCGTCGCCGCTGACGAGCCTCGCTGTCTGGAGTCGTAAGCTGCCGCTAGTATCTCATTCATTCGTTTTCTCCAGCATCGCAGCCACGTCTTCTCTGGTGAAAGATGAGGTTAGCACGCTCCTCGATACGGAAGACATTCGGTGCATCTGATTGTCCGACGTCCAAATGGCAGACACCTGCCAGGCGTGGCCTCGGATGTAGAGAGAGTTCTTGACAGCTTGTGACATCGACTGATGTTTGTTAACTGAAATGACAGGCATACGTGGTTCCATGAGGCTGATTCTCGCATTCTCATGCGGACCATGAAGCAGTCCCGGAGCAGATGCGCGGCACGGATTTTTCTCCATTCAAAAAGCATTGAGTTTGAGATTATGGGCATAAAGTTTCAACCCACAGGCTTGGCAGCTAATCGGTCGCTCTTGTTGGTAAGCTCGTCGACCTTCGCTGACGAAACCTCCAACAGTGGATGATCGCCTAACGTGGAGGCGATGATGAAAGACCCAGGCTGCCGGATCCACCACGTAGATACCACCCCAGACGAACACTCTCGACGGCTGCTATTATTACCATGACGTGTTGATAAGTATCATTGAGAGACTGTTCCCCAATGAAGCAATGAGCTCGTGCTCGGACACAGACGCGTCCTCCAATGGGGGGAGCACATTGACTTTCCAGGCATTGAAACGCGAAACCGCCTGAATGCGGGGGGTCCTAGAGCTCGCATACGGATAGCGGCGTTGGGACCCGGGAGTGCGAGCCGGTCGCGGGTCGCCGAACACGAGCTGAAGAAGCCGGAGGGACTCTGGAACGCGACGGGCTGACATTTCGGGAGCTCTTACACGTGGTTTGAGTTACAGTTCCACGCTTGAGTCAGCCCCGGTCGTCTCATTCGGAGGATTTTTGGAGGATGGTTTTATCTGACAGGAAGTCCGGACCTCTTCAGGTTAGTAGCATCATGAGGTTGCAAGTTTGCTGATGGAATGCCAGAGCACTATACCACAACATACCAGAATGCCACTCCATCCCCCAAAATCCCGTAGATACTCCTCTAAGCGACCTGTTCAGTACCATGAAAGACAGCAATGCGATGGAACACCCAATGGGTGCTGGCCTTCCATGAAACCTTCAAAGCACAAGGCATTGAATGAGACACACGTAATGTGATGCATGCAGCTGCTCCAGCTGAAAACCCAGGCGCGAGAAATGCCTCGGGAGATTGGCCCTGCACATGCTGTGAGCTGTGTCCGTGTCAGAAGCTTTTGCTTGGTTTGTGCTGCAGAAGCACAAGATCTGGGCCCATGCAGGTCCAGATTGCCGAGCTGCTGTGGGCTAAGCTAAGGGTCGCCCAAGCTAATGGAGGGGAACAGGGACGGGCCGGGGTCGCATAGATGCCATGTTCCAAGGTTAGAAACATTGGATCCATGAACACTTACTAGAGGTGCTCCTGGTGCTTAAGTGTGAGAAACAAATAAGAAGTGAACACCCCCCCGGACCAGCTCCTCCCGCAAGAACCAAAAAAGAAAAAGGAAAAAAGGATTTAACCACAGCTAGTCAGGTGACGTCACAGCGCCTGGCCCACAGTTTTCCCGGAGCACCGAAGCACTGAAGCAGCTGCGCAGCGAACACGATCGCATCGCGGGGACTTTCCCAAACCGAAACACCTCGCTTCCTCAACATACACTTCCTGTAATATTGCCTTTTCGCATTCTTAGAGGCGACACCGATATCTATATCTACGGAGCGAGCGACCATACAGGAACACCGGACTCTCCCAAGCTCAGACTGAGGACACAGATGGCCGCTGCGTCATCGTGAGAAAGCAGCCATGGCCTCCTCTTCACCCCTTACTGCCGAGCAGACGAGCGCTCTCTTCAACATCCTCACCCACTTCGAGACCTACCGCGAAGTCGAGCAGTTCAAGCAGCCAGAGACGATCGACAACTATGGCTACCCCTTCGCCGCAGTCAGCCCCAAGGCCAGCGAACCCGACGAGGCCGTCGTCTACGCCTCGAAATCCTCGGCGCCGCTCCTGCAATCCCTGTTCACCAGGTTTATCCTGCCCCTGCCGGGCGTCTCCTCCATCGTGCCCAAGTTCTGGCGCGTCCGCGTGCAGGGCCTCATCAAGAAATTCGCCGAAGCCGACCTCTCCGAAAGCTACGAGAAGGGCGCCCTGGGCACTAGAAAGACCCTGGCCACCGCCTCGTCCACCGTCATCGAGACCGTTGCGCGGGGCCAGATCGGCGGCGGACCCGTCAGCGACCCCGCGACAAGGCCGAAGGAGTATGATTTGCAGAATGCGGGGGATCTGATGCGCGCGTGGGACGATGCGATGCATGGCCTCGTCTACGAGAACCTTTGCGACGAGCTGCTGGACTACCTTGCCGAGACCGAGGAATTTGACACACACTCTTCCATGACGAGGGCAGCGTGCGACTACATTCTCTTGCAGTATGTCCCCAATTCTCAGCAGTGTCGAATTTCAAGCTGACGTATAACAGCCTTGCGACGCTGTGCCACCAGGTCTTGATCGTTTCGCCCGAGGGGCAGTACCTCGTCAAGCTGATGGATAATCTCCACAAGATGGTGCCCTACGGCATGGTTCGCCAAACACTGCGAATCGGTAATGCGGCGACCATGATTGCGGGCATGATGAAGATCTTCCTGGCGAAGCTGACTGTGGGCGGCGTCTCGAACTGGATCGGCATTACCTCCAATGCTGCTGACGGGCAGAATCTTATGCAAAGGTAGGGCACAGTTTCTGGCCGATGGCGCCTGTGATGCTGACAGACAAAAGAATGATTTCTGTGATTCTCGGATGGGACTGCGCCGAGTTCAAAAAGACGATCGACACGATATCCAAGGCAAAGGATGGCCCAAGCAAGGGCGCCCTTGCTGCCATCAAGGCACACTGCCAGTCACCCAAGAGCGAGCGCGACACCGTCAGGGCAAGGAGTTTGCGGGAATCCAAGTCTGTTGTTGCCGTCATTCTCGAGACCACCGACCCGAAGC